TCTTTAAATAAACTTGTTAAAAAGGTGTAATTGCACGGGGATCCATCATTTATTTTGTAAAAAACTGTTTAACTTCACCCGTTAGCGTGAATTTTCGGTTCTTGCATGAGCCGTACACGGAGCCAGCTCCGCCAGAAACTAAGTGTCGACCCCGAACATGGTGGGTGATTAATGCAACCCTCAGAACTCTAAAATCTTTAAATAAACTTGTTAAAAAGGTGTAATTGCACGGGGATCCATCATTTATTTTGTAAAAAACTGTTTAACTTCACCCGTTAGCGTGAATTTTCGATTCTTGCATGAGCCGTACACGGAGCCAGCTCCGCCAAAAACTAAGTGTCGACCCCGAACATGGTGGGTGATTAATGCAACCCTCAGAACTCTAATATTTTTAAATAAACTTGTTAAAAAGGTTGAATGGCACGGGGATCCATCATTTATTTTCTAAAAAACGGTTTAACTTCACCCGTTAGCGTGAATTTTCGGTTCTTGCATGAGCCGTACACGGAGCCAGCTCCGCCCTCCGCCAGAAACTAAGTGTCGACCCCGAACATGGTGGGTGATTAATGCAACCCTCAGAACCCTAAAATCTTTAAATAAACTTGTAAAAAGGTTGAATTGCACGGGGATCCAGCATTTATTTTGTAATAAACGGTTTAACTTCACCCGTTAGCGAGAATTTTCGGTTCTTGCATGAGCCGTACACGGAGCCAGCTCCGCCAGAAACTAAGTGTCGACCCCGAACATGGTGGGTGATTAACCCTACCCTCAAAACCCTAAAATCTTTAAATAAACTTGTTAAAAAGGTTGAATTGCACGGGGATCCAGCATTTATTTTGTAAAAAACGGTTTAACTTCACCCGTTAGCGTGAATTTTCGGTTCTTGCATGAGCCGTACACGGAGCCAGCTCCGCCCTCCGCCAGAAACCCCGAACATGGTGGGTGATTAATGCAACCCTCAGAACTCTAATATTTTTAAATAAACTTGTTAAAAAGGTTGAATGGCACGGGGATCCAATAATAATTTTGTAAAAAACGGTTTTATTTTGGTTGAAATCTTGCTGTTTTTGAGGTTACTTGCTCGTTGCTAGAACAGAGGGAATCCCCATATTCGAAGCCACCTTAGGTCGACACTTAGCCGTGGGAGCCATTATTTGTTTGCGAATCGCAAGATGTCGTGGTAGTATTCTTGAAAATTCTTAGGTAGTTGTGCGATTAAACTGTTCGAAAAACACTGGAAATTATTCTTGAAAGATAGGGGAACATTTTGATACATTAATATTGTGCATTGGCTACGGTTTTGTGTTTGCTTATCGATTTTGAAAATTCGACATGAGCCGTACATATTTGACATGAGCCGTACAATTTGCATGAGCCGTACAGCTCCGGCCCACTATGGCTGCTTATTAGCTCCTTGACAGTATCATATCAAGGAAAGCTGACGTTATAGCCCCCTTACCTTTTTGCTTTAGTATGATCTTCAGGTTGTGGCCTCAAAACTCATACACATGGGCTCAGACAAAGGTTGAAAAGTAGGGGGGGGGGCCAGAGGGAAAATTTAACACCCATAACAAAAGATTTTGAAAAAACTCTATTGTTTTGCAAAAATGTGGAGGGGGGCTAAGGCCCCCTAATTTACTTATTAGAGCAGTTAAGGGGAGTAATCTGTAGCTCCCCACCTGCATTTGAGGAAAGACTGGAGGGGAGCAAGATCTATGGCTCTCCTTAAATGGCCAGGCCTGTCTAAGCAAATTAAATTTTCACAAATTAAGGTACAATTTTCAAGACACTTTAAACACAATGTGTCTTACGTTTTGTTGATATGAGCATTTCTTGAAGCTCTGCTCTTAATTTCACATGCAGTAATGAGATCTTCTTGCTAGTTATAGATTTAACACAACCAACTGTTGAATTAACCAACCTTTTAAGTAATCTTCTGATGCACCTTTTATAATAAATGGTAATCACAGCTATGCAAACGAACTGCACAAAAACATACTTTAATTGACTCCTTTATCTGCAAAACTGGTCCGTTTGACTAAAAGGTCATTTTTAACCCCAGTCACATCAGGCCTTGTCAGAAGCAGAAAGCAGGCGCTTGACAAACTGAGCACCTTTAACTTTCTAGATGCTCAATTGGGCATCATTAAATATCATCAATAACAAAATATGGTTTTTTGTATTTAATTTGTAGACAGCATGAACATGTTAGGTGCTTGATCAATCAAGCTCCTAGAACTTTTTAGGCTCCTTGCAAGGCCTGAATTACATTCTATGCGACCACTGAGGAGCATTTATAGTTTTTAGTATGCAAGGCAATGGGATAGTTACAGTTTTTGCACAATAGTATCTTTATCATAGTATTGTAAATTAACTGTAGGTAGTTTAATCAGTAATATGCACATGAAATTTTAAAAGTATTGCAGTTACCTTGTTGTTTTCTTAAATAAAAGTTAAAAACGATTCAAATTCCACTAAAGGTGGAGTGGGTGAAAACGTGGGTAGATATGACTATAAAAGGGAAGGGTTTGATATTTTGGGAAAAGGGTAGGTGTTGGGTGCCTCATTTATTTAGGAGACCCCAATGTGTGGTTGAAGTTATTACTAGGTGGTAGTGACTACTCTTTTCTCCTTCAAAATTTACTTTTATTTTAACCCAATTCCTTTTTTGGGTTGGCCTTCGTTGCCTTAATACACAATTGCTCTGTTAACTGTATCTGTTTTTAGACACTGAAAGGATATACACAGAAATTATGCAAAGGATCGCATCAAAATATGGAAAAAACTTCACATGGGAGATTAAAGTAAAAATGATGGGAATGCCAGGACTAAAGTCTGCACAGGTTTTTGTTGATGAGTTGAAGCTTCCAATTACACCAGAAGAGTTTTTACAGGAAACCAAGAAGCATAAAAAGGAACTATTTCCAACTTGTAACATTTTGCCTGGTAAGAGTCTCCTATTTCTGTGTTCAGAAGTATCCAAATTCAACCTTACAGCTATTTTCATTTGTGTCAAAGTCTATGATAAACCTATCAACAAAATAAAAAAAACTAAAAATAATTTTTCATTTTGGAAAAAATTTGATAGGATCATAAATTTTCACTTCAGTAGTCATTCTTTCTATAGTTTTTGGTGATTGTTGTTCTTCATTGTTGACTCTGAGTTTCAGACATGTTGCATTTTTAGCAAATTAAAATATTATTTGAAGCAAATATATTGCAGTTTTTTCATGTTATTACCTTCTGTTCATTGTATTTCTTCAGGTGCAGAAAAGCTAGTAAAACATTTGCTGAAATGCAAAATTCCTATTGCCTTAGCTTCAGGATCTTTTACCACAGACTTTGAAACAAAGACACAGAATCATAGGGACTTTTTTTCACTCTTTGAAATCAAGACTTTAGGTGATGATCCAGAAGTTACGCATGGAAAGCCTAACCCTGAAGTGTTCTTAGTTACTGCAAGAAAATTCAAAGACACTCCCGAGCCCGGTAGTGTATTAGTATTTGAAGATGCACCAAATGGAGTGATTGCAGCAAAGAGTGCTGGGATGGCCGTTGTCATGGTTCCTGATGAAAGAATGGACAGTAGCATGTATAACAATGCTGATTTAGTTTTAGGTTCTTTAGAAAATTATAAGCCAGAGGATTGGGGTTTCCCTGCATTTGAAGAAGCATAAGGAACCTTCAAAGAAATATACTGAAATTTTTTGATTCAATTAGATTATTTGGAAAAGGTCATGGAAATACAGTGGTGATGATTGTTTTTATTGAGAGCAATTATCATTTTATGATATTTAGATTAATTTTGTCAATTTTTTGTGAATGAATATTCAAAATATTATTTCTCATTTATATTTTTATACTCTGAATACGCTTCAAGAACTTTGCTATGCTGGCAAAAAATTGACCACATAATTTCTCTCTGCAACAGCTGATTGGAAAAGGGAAGGGGGAACCAGCTGCATTTTCAAGAGTTTGAAATAAAAATTTATGTCATAAAATGCTTGCACCTTTTTCAGTTTGTTGATCAACTACTGTTTTTTGGCACTTCTGATCAAAACATTTGTTCTTTGTTGATATATATTTCTTAAACAAACAGGAAGAGCAACGGGGAAGGACCCCACCCAATTTCAATGAAAGGTGACTTTTCAACAAAAATGTCACAAGAAATTGAAAATTACAGCTTTCTCTCGCTTTTTTATTCAACGTAAAACTTCCAAAAATTCCAAAAACACTTCCTAAAAGATTTCTTGAAGACACTATGAGGACGATACGTCCATTAAGGGTATCAATAGGCCAAGACAAGTACAAGCCCATGACGGGGGGGGGGGGGTAACAGCTGGATTATAACAAATGCTTTACTACAAAAAGCTACTGAAAGATTAAATTATCCATGGGCTCCGACACAGGTTGGAAAGTAGAGGGGGACAAGGGAAAATTTAGCACCTATAACAAAAGATTCTGTGAAAATTTATATTGTTTTGCAGAAAAGTGGGGGGCCATAGCCCCTCCCCCTGACCCCCCTTATCAAAGGCCCTCTGATCAGGGTGTTGTCATACTGGGTGCTATATCAATGAAATGTACAGGAAAAGGCAAATAGATATTTAACTTTGAGAATATGAATGCAAAAAACTTGTATTCGCCAGTTGTGAATCACAATAGCCCTTGAAAAGGAAATTCTAGACCTACCGTAAATCCTCAAATTAGCCTCCTGGGGCTTATCTATTTTTTATTTTTTTTGGATGGGGGCTTATACAAGGAGAGTGGCTTATAAAATTGTTGTAGACATTAAGGAGACATTATTAAAAGACCTCGTTTATTTTTGTAGGAATTCCTTTACGAGCATTTAATAAATTATTACCAAAAGTATGAATTTTAGTGGTACACTCATTTTTTTTAAGAAACTGGCTAAAAGAAATGAGTAGTGGACAGTCAGAAAAAAATAAGAAACTTCATCAGTACTCGAAGCAAAAATATTAAGAAACTATCAAATCGTGATAAAACTGAGAACAACGAGATTTTGTAAAATCCAAGAACCTGATTGCACTGTTGGCCTAGAAATTAAGACACAGGGGATAGAAATATACTTCCCGCATCTAAATACAGCATCAGAACGGAAGCGAATCTCTTGACGTGATAAAAAAGTCACGGAGGGCCCGCGCCACCAGGGGGCCGGGATGGTCATGGTCTGGTCCCCCAACTTTTTTGCGAAGCAAGTAGTTTAAAGTTGTAGTATAAGGGGTCAGATGTCTTGGCTTCCTGCTTTTTTAGCCTTGAACCCCCACTTTCAAATTCGTGGCGCGGGCCCTTTCACGAACACTTCATAACATCATTTATGGCATCATAATTTAAGAAACTCTTATGAATCAACGAGTATTGAAATGTCCAGAAACTGGAGTACTCAATATCGACCTTTGTTTCTTGTAAAAAAGAGTAATTCAAAAAAACGCCAAGGGCAACTTCAGGTGGCAAAAATCATCAAATTAAGGGGTCTAATTCAAGAATATACTATTCAAGAGAAAGGCTTATTGACAAATTGCAGTTATAGGGTGTGGGCTAATTCGAGTTGGGGGGTGCTTTCTCGAAGGGGGGGGCTTTCTCGAAGGGGGGGGGGCAATTCGAGGATTTACGGTATTGAAATTTGTTTCCATGTGGTCTTAGATGAGTTGTTGCTGTTGTCCGTACACATTGGAAACCCGGTCCTAAAGTGTGGCATAGACCGATTCGGCGTGACGTAACACTAAGCGTTGCCATGCGCGACGATATTTACTGGGGTGAAAACAGTTGTTCTCGAACGTGGAGGACAGTACCACGCGCACTACTTGCACTGCTTGTATTTGTTAGTTCGGCGTAGAAAATGTCTTACGAATACTTCGATACGCTAGATGGAGAAGCTAAGAGTCGATATTTGCAGAAAATTAAAGCAATTAAACTCAAAGAATGCCCGTACCGGCTGCCGGCTGACGTTTGGGTGAATGCGCCTGCTGACTGGCCTAACGTCGAATACCCGGATATTTATGAATATTTGATGAATACACCTGGTAAGAGCATACTTTTACGTTTTTGATTGCTTAAGTGATTTGTTTTTGCTTCAAAAATTCAATGTAATGAAATAGTTTTTTCATAGTATTTGACAGTTTATGAACAAAACCCAAATGAACTAAAGGTCTTACTTTAACCAACGCTGTTCTGTTCTTTTCTTGTTCAGGTGCCTTTTCAAGGAAACAGATAAAATCACGGAAGGGGCTAGATGGTTACAACCATTTCCAATCTGGATGGGTAGATACTGTCTATTTACACAAAATAGACAAGCATGTATCTTTAATGTCTGCCAATGTAAAGCACTCTCAACGGATGAACGAGCTGCCATTGAGGCCATGGTTTGCAGCCAGTAATGATGGAACAATAATTTCTGCTCACTGCAATTGTATGGCAGGGTATGTTTACTTATGAGAAAGATATATTGTAATACCTAAGTAATCATTAAGGGCATAAATAAAGCTACTTTATAATCTGAATATATATATCTATTTCCAACTCATTATTCTATACGTAATATATTCATATTTTTTCCTTTGTGAACAATTTTACTCTATAGTAGGCTCTGATTAGCTTTATTTGGTTACTATGTATATTTATGCCAATACATGGATGGATATAATGAAATGTTTATGACAATTTTTTTAACTTGCTGATCAACATCATATATACTGAGAAACATTTAATTTTTTAGGCTTGGGGAGGCCTGTTCTCACATTGGTGCTTTAATGTTTAAAGTTGAGGCTGCTGTACGACTTGGATACACAACATCAGCCTGCACTGATCAGCCATGTATTTGGAATAATGATTTCGTAAAATCTGTTGAGGGGGAGCCTCTGAGGGATATTCAGTTTTACAGAAAAAAAGAGCTGAATAAGCGTCATGCTTATCAATTTGCTGATGCATCAGAGCAAGAAAAAGGAACACTTCTTGACCAGCTATCAAGCTTAGAGCCACAAGAGCAGCCAGTATGTCTCAGCCTATTTGCAGGGAATTCCAGCATATTTCATTTTAAGGAAAATTTACCAGCAGAACCAAGAATACCCAGACCACTAAGAGAATATTTCTCTGTAGATGGCAGTGGGGTTGATGCTAAAATTGAAGAACTCTCTTCCATTAAATTAAATGAGCAAGACAGAGATTTTGTTGAAAAATCTACAAGGGGACAAAGAAATTCTCTTGCATGGAGGGAGCTGAGGATCGGGAGGATAACTGCTTCAGTTGCACATGAGGTGCTGCACACCAATATGAACAACCCATCAAAGACTGTTGTCCGCAAGATATGTTGTGAACCAAAACCTCTAAATGTACCCTCAGTGCTCTGGGGTCAAGATAATGAAGATGTGGCCCTGAAGGATTATGAAAGGCAACTGAAAGCATCCCATAAAAATGTAAGCATTGAAAAATCAGGCTTGAAATTAGATGCAGAATTCCATTTCCTTGGGGCATCAGCAGATGCAGTTGGGTATTGCGATTGCCATGGAAGTTTTTTAATAGAAGTGAAGTGCCCCTTTAAGCACAAAGACACTGCAACTATTGAGGAGTGTTGCAAAGATAAAACATTTTGCCTTGATGATAATCAGGTTTTGAAGAGCGACCATAAATATATGACACAGGTGCAAATGCAGATGCATGTGTACAAAGTTCACTATTGTCATTTTGTTGTATGGGGACCAAATTTTTGTAAGGCAAATATAATTACATATGATTATAATTTTTTTCAAAGTGTAAATCACCTTGTTGATTTCTATCACAAAATCATTTGTAAGGAGCTTGTGACCAGATCACTTGAAAACGAAACAGCTTCAAAGAATCAACAAGAGGTAGCCCCAGTTTACTGCTACTGCCAGAAGCCTTGTGACGATATCGAACCAATGGTAGGATGTGACAACCCGTCATGTCAGTATCAATGGATTCATTTTCAATGTGCAAGGCCCAAGCTGAAGAGACCACCACGAGGAGCTTGGTATTGCAAAGATTGCAAGAAGAAGAAAAGGAGTGAGACAAAGTAGCATGAAACATTCAGTTATATTTTATATTTGTAAATCTACTTAATATCTTTTTCTTTTAATACAACTCCAGTAGATAGATTAATTAAGGCAGAGCAAACTTTAACAAGCTTATCAATATTAGGTGTTTCAGATAATATTTCATTTCTAGGAGATTTAACTAAAGTTAATGGTAGAGGCCCTTGCAATATTTTAAATCTGTTTTTTAATTGTCCAATAACTCTTTCAATGTGAATCCTTACACTTGATATTCTTCTTGAAGATTCAACTTCTTCAGCACTAAGTTGTGTTTTGCCTTTTGTGAATGCTGGTGTAATTAGCTCAGCACTACATGCGACAGCAAAGTCATCCTTAAGAAGAAATCCTCTGTCAGCAAGTATTTGATCACCTGGCAGGTGATACTTTCTGCTTATAAATCCAGATGATCGTACAATTTGGACATCAGTGGCTCTCCCACCCCAGCCATCAGACAAAAAGGTTACTGCTCCAAGAGGGCTACAGCTTATTAAGTACTTAACTGTACTATGTTTTTTATAATTTGAGTATACCTGAGCACGCTGTTTCAAATTCTTTGGACGATCAATAAAAATCTCAAAGCAATCTATGATGCTTGTAAGCCTGGGAAAATTTTGCTTGAAAACTGGAGGCAGAGTTTTTCTAATATGATCTCTGTCTGGCCAACAAACAAGAAACCCAAGCTTTGCATACATCAAATCAATAATCTTTTGAAATGTTGCATTGACTGTGCTTTGTGATATACCAGTCTGATAACTTAAATATTCAAAGGGCAAATTCAATCTCAACCGGACCAACACCATCAATATCTGGTTTCTCACTGGCAAATTCTTGATTGGTTCCTTTAGTGATGGGGTTATAAAATCACAAATGATTTTAAAAACATTCCACGACAGCCCTGTCAAATAGGTTGCTGCTTGATCATTTCCTTTTATCACTTCAGGGTTGAAATTTGTGAGAAAAACCTAAAAAAAATAATATGAAACTGTCAAAAATAATATGCCATAAATAATAATGTTACCTGAATATGAAATTTCAGATACATACACTAATCAAATGACCATTTTGAATATAAATGTGCCACTTCAGAACTCATATTTTGAATGCAACATCGATACAAGCTAACTTTTCAACTGTGCAAAGCATAAATTCAATGCTGTAAAAGGTGATGATCCACATTTACTCGCAATTGCAATTTGCGCACAATCGCCTTTCCTGCTGAATGAAAATAAAAACTACCCTAACCATTCCATGTCAGCAGTCATATGCGAGAATCTGCCAAAATACTCTCCCATCACTACTTGTTCGAGTTGAAAAGATTGGTCCTGCACCAACCTTCAGAAACTATTAATTGTCAACATCCACGTGGATGAGGTCACATACCTCATTGTTCTGTTTATTATATTTAATAGAGAGTTATTTATTATTAAATTCATGCTAATGTTCGACTTGTACCAATTCAATGATAATGATAGTTGCTAAAATAAGAACAAAAGGGGCTCTCACGCAAAATGTTGCTATAAAAATATTGAAGAGATCAGCAAGCTCCTTCTCTCTTGGCATCGACAGGGGGCTTAGCTCTCCTGCTGGAGCACTAAAGTGCAGACCTGGGTAAATGTGGCCTTGATATGAAATGTCACAATTGGCAGCCAGATGTAAAGTGTCATCAAAAGATTTGTGGCATTAACTTTTGCTATTAAATTTTCTCAAAAAATGATAATATTGTCATTTGAAAGGGGTTTTAAGTTTGCTCAGTGTTATTTTTAATTAACATTATTTTGCTTTGTGGCAATACAATTAGTATGTTTTTAGAGGCACAATAAGTTGCTCTCCAAGGTGCACTTCAGTGCTCCCACTAGATCAACATGCTTTGCAGGCAAGACCTGTGTCATGCAGAGCTGTTTCTGTAGCCTATTGATTCTAACTTATAAAATTATCCTTCTTGGTACTTGAATACCATCCTTATTTGGATCTTTATCTGATGTTTCCCTCCAGGCCTCTCCATAAATTTTTTTCGATGTGTGCCGCTGATTATACGCCTCAATGCTAAATTTTTCATCCAGGAGTGCAATTTCTAACTTCTGGTTTAAATCATGCGGAAAAGCAGTAAAATCAGTACTATTGATGTTACCAGCTTTCCGTCTGATTTTTAAACTTTGTCATATCAAAGTATTCTAAAGCTTGTCTTTCAAGTGTTATAGACACCCATAAAAGAAACTTCTATTATTTTGATCCCAACAAAAATTTGTATTAGACTATTAACACGTTTTCAATCTAAAAATTACTTCTTGTTATGGTAACAATGGGGAGGCAGATTAAGTGGCTTTTTCATCCCACTCGACCAGCACAGAGAGTTTTCCACATTTTAACCTGTATTTTGTGTCACACAATGCCCTAAATGGTGAATGCTTCAATTTCACGATGATTCCTGGGGCAACAATGCAATGTTTTTGATAAAAAGTAATCTTTGCAAAGTGCATGCGATATCACCATATTTTTAGAAGCAGTCCCAAGATTTAATCTTTGGTAGGCATGTAAGCTTTCTTTGACAAGAAAGGTACCTCAATATATCTCATTATATACTATGTATCAATATTATTTTAGCATCAGTATTCGCAACATCTTTGGCAAGCTTTTGTGGTAAACTGGGAGCATTTGATGCTTTATGTATCTATGACGATGCTGTCTTTTTTGTCTCTGTTTCACCCTGCCATGAAATGGAAGATCCATTTTCAGTATCTCCAGTTGGATTAACAATTATAAACACATCTAAATCAATAAAGAAGTATGACATAACAACATCTAAGGACATTTCAAAACCTCTCTCATTTGGTAAGTCTAATCTTTGCATTCATTGAATGTCTAATTCAGTTTTGACTTAAAATTTTTCCTGTGAGTTCAGCCTGCATTGTAGTGATTATTGTTCCACCTCTGAACATTTTTAAAGTCTCACCAAATGGGACATATTTCAAGCCTTTTTAGAACATGATAGTGCAAAGTTGAGAGTTTGTCTTAAGTTTGCACCAATTGATTTTATTTTCCTGGTATATTTTATTGGTTTACTTGCAATTCATAATTTTCTAACAGGTAGAACTGATGTAGGCGTCATGATAGAAATGCATTATCACTCAGCTGGCGCTATGCGTGGCCATCTCCATATTGATGTAAGTCATGGCCAGATTGCTCTTGGCCAATTTCGTAACTTTCTAATTTTTTCATTGAACAATTGTTCTTAGTATAAGCTTTGGCAACTCCAGGATCTCTAGAATTTGAAATGATTGGCCAATATTAAATTCTGTTGGGAATCCTTATATTGTACAACTTCACTGTCCTGCAATAATTGGTTGCAAATTTGTCATAGCCAGTGTTGTATTTATGTAAATAACAATCAATGTAAGTAAATTGTACCAGAAATTTTTTTTTTATTTCTGTGTATTTATGTGTTTGAAATTAATACGCAAAGCAAGATTTATGTGCTTTTTGTGACCATTTGTTTTAAGTTAACATGGACTTTTTTGGACAATTAGTCAGCCTTATGTTGGATGTTTGCTTTGAAATGACAATGGTTTATAATTTATCTCGCTGTTCAATAAATGCAACTGATTTCTCAAAAGACATCCCATCTACAAAGAGCAAAAGTTTAAGGTCAGGCAGGGGACTGAGATGCTGCTGTTGGTTTGGTGGTCTTCTGTGTTTTTACCAATTTATTGTTATATTTACAATGTGTGGCTATTTGAATTAAGAGAATAAATGCTCCAAGTATCATAAAATTTTGTCTATAAAATGACCCTTTGCCTTAAAAAAGGAAATGGTGGGAAGGTCAATTTTTCCATGTATAAGACACAGCCTTGAACAAGCCAATGGTTCGAAAAAAGGTGTGTCCACAGCGAAATACAATAACTTTCCAGGGTAAAATGGTTTTTAACTTGATGGTCTTGAATGCTATTTTTTGTAGCTTTCGCTTGGAAACTTTACTGATAATGGAGTTAATTCCAGAAGGTCACTGTTGAACTTGTATTTTTACACACAGAAATTTGGACGATGTATAAATTCCTGTGAGTATACAGATAGCTCATTTTAGATTTTCTTATTGAATAAATGGTTACTTGCATAAGTGGAAACAATTTTTTGCGATACAGAATTTGAAAATGGCTTTGAAAAAAGCAAACATTTTACAACATACTAAAAGCTTTTTTGTCTGAGACTCCTCAGAGCATAAAATGGCAGAATCAGACGTCAGAATCATCTATAATGACGACATGTTTCGGATAATTGGCAGAGCCTGGTCGTCCTTCCATCTAGCAGTTTTGGAGTCGATCTCCATACAAACGAAAAAGCCGCCATTGTGTAGACAGAAGGAGTTCGTTTTCTTTCTTGGACTCCAGTGGTAATTTTTCTTTAGGCTCACGGTACTGATTGGTCAACCATACCGGTCTTGTGCTTGCGTTTTTCTGATTGGCCTATCTCTATCCACAACTGGGTATATATTTTCCATCGTGTTCTTTCGGAACCTTATTCTGACGTTTTATGCTCTGAGGAGTGTCAGACGAAAAAGCTTTTAGTATGTTGTAAAATAAGTGGAAACCTTCAACATTTTCTGTCCAGAATGGGCCTGGGCCCTGGAAATGTAAACTTTTTTCAGCATTTATTGCATATTGAAATGCTAATTTTATTTCAAGTTGTTCATACAATTTTCTATTAAATAGGCTTTTTTCTCTCAAACTGTTTCTCTCAATCTGTCAAATATTGCCTTTTGGCTATCAAATGTGAAATTGAATTACTTGGAAGACTTCAAATATCTGCAAAGCCAACAAATATTTTGAGCCTTCTATGTGTTTGTAAATTAATTTAAAGTATGTAGAATTTGTTTTGGGTATCACCATGTTTTAGTGGGTGGTTCAACATTTTGTAAAAATGAAGATTGTTGGCAAAACATAGAGGCTTTTTGAAAATATCAAATCTTTAATATGATTTGTTTTCCTATCCTTTGCTATCTTTGGTTAATGTGAAGATCTTTTTGTCAATTGCTGATAAAAAATATGTTAAATATAATTGCCAAAGATTATCAGAAAGTTTTATTCAAGTTATCATTTATAATCTAAATTACATTAAATGACAAAAATTTCAGACAAAAATTTCGGATGATTTTTAACGAAATTTCGGAAGATTTTCACAAAATTGGACTAAACAAAAACACTCTTTATTGCATTTCAAACAACATCAAAAAAGAGACAAAATAATCATATCGATGTTGACAATGGTTAATTTTATGACAAAGGGTTATACATTAGTTAAATGTTTGTGCGCCAAACATTCTATTCAAATAACAAATACTTTGCTGTGCTTTTTCTATAGTGCTAAAAAATTTATACGGTAAAATTTTGGACCACAAAAAGTTTCGGACGGTAGAAATTTCGAATGCCTCAACCGTCTGAAAATATTAACGTTCGATATTTTGGGCGCTTAATGTATTATGGTATCCCTATTACTTAGAAAGCCATTTTGTATGACCGATCATTTTCCAATGATTATAATTATCTTAGTCTCAGGATCCAGCTTTTACCCATCGCCTGCTTGTCAAGAATCAAAACGGACAGGGAATTATTCAACACTTTGCATTTCAAAGCCAAGTTCAAGCGTGGATAAATCAAGTCAGGGGATATTCTTTATTTCTGTGGATCCTTGTACCATGCCCATGAGCTATTGGGCTGTTGCTCTCTTTCCAAGTAAGAACAACACACACATCATTCGGCAGTTCACAGCTTCTAAAACAGACTCATTTATTCCAGTCGGTAAGTCAGTATATACTTAGATGTATTATTCCTAACGGGACATTAAAGGCTCTTGTGCAACCGTCATACTTTGCGAATATATTTTCATAGCTGGCCTAATGTCGTACTTCATGTAAAAACCAAATACAATCCATTTTTCCACGCGTAAGAAAACAGCTACCGCAAAGCATGCGTAAAAGCCTTTAAAGAACAAGTCACCGACTAACAATTGGTTGCCAGCCCTTCATTAGACTGATGTTAACTTTATGAGTACAACTTGTGGTTTGTCTTATGATTTTGTTTAAACCTGAGCGTCTTAGACATTTTTGTGTAGCCATAGTGTAAAAATGCAATGACAATTTTAGTAATCAACTTTAAAAGTAATAAGGTATATATTATGATAGTCAAACTTTCAACGATTGATTTGTTTCAAATGTTGTTAAGGTAAGTAAATAATGGTGTTAACTTAAATTTGCAATTGATAATTAATTATTCATATAAAAAACTACATCTAGCCACGATTTTGTCATAGAATGTCTTTCATATGCTCTATTTGTCAAAAAATTGTGTTTTTGAAACACCAATCAGACTGCGTTAGATTGACAAGATATTTTGAAATTTTGTTTTTAATTTGATATTGGTGTTTTATAAATTGCTTTGTGTGATTTATACAACTCCGAAGTTTTAACTATTTATACTTTTGACAGTTCAATACAAGAAAAGTTCAAGATTTTGTAAGGAATAATTCATATGTGATATTGCAGTGATAGGTTTTATAGTACTTTTCACTTACAATCTTTGAAAAATAATTCAAAAACAGTGGGGGCTTTCTTCTGGGTACTGTTCTTCCGTTGAATCATTGTTTTCTTGATTTGTGTTATTCATATTTACAATTTTTCATCCTTTAAAATTAGAGTCGGCAAATTGTGGATTTAAAGTTGATGTTGTGCCAGAATTCTCGGAAAACCACGTTCTAGCGGTGACAGTAAGTGATGTAATGTTTCTATCTATCCAACCAAGCAAGAATTTTGATGAGAAATTCCACAACTTTTTGCACGGCGGCGTTCACAAGAATGTTAATCCTGAAGGGGTAGGGTTGGGGGTTGATTGGAAGTATCTTTTAACAGAGGCTCTGGTGCTAATTCACCTGGTTTACCCAAGGATAAACCTCTCATATTTTCTCATATTTTCATTTTTAATGAAGTTGCCAAATTTTATCAAACCGCGCTTCATTCAAGTGTCATAGTAAGTTGACCAATAAATTCTGACAACCCTTCTCATTAAAAAATATGTTTTTACTCGAATTTTCTTTATTTATAGCCACCTTCATGGGTGAGGGGCTCGAATAGCTTTTCTACTTTCCTTTTAAATGTAATCTTGAACTATTCCCAGGTTCCAGGCATCTAAATACACAAATACCTAAGTATTTTTAGGCAGTTGGGCAAGGTATCGTGCCTTTTGATAGATTTATTGACAACTTCACTCGACCGTTAACTGTGTCGATTGTGTCATGGGTCATCAGAAACATGAGTTATATTTCAAGTAGCTGCAGCAATGGGAAATCACAAGCCATGTTGTTTGGCTATGTTGCTTTGTTAAGAAATTGTGATCATAAAATGAGCCTTGGAGTTACGGTCTTAATTTTTCTCGTTGCAGATGCTTTATGGCTGTACTGATTCATCAGCAGTTCAATTAATCAACGACTACTATTTCCCAGAGCTCGGTGAAATGTGCATACCGTGTAAGTTCACTGATAAAAGTTCTTTGATAAAAGAATGCCGATGCCCAAAGGGATTTTTTAACACGCTCCCATTGGTGCTTTTTCATTTCTATCATACACCTGACAATTGTTGAATGAGAAGTTTCATGCAGCATTTAGCATGGGAGTTGTTTTAACGTAAATAATATTGTCAACATCAAACTGTTGAAATAATTTTTCCAATATGTTTGGGTGTGCCTGAAAGACAAATATTTTTGTTTTGAAATCAGAACATTGCCTGTGGCGAATTCCATTGGTTTTTCTTGAAACATTTTCCACAATCTTTGCAATTACAAACTGATTTTGTTTTTTATTACAGCCAAGTGCGAAGTTCTGAGCCCGAACAGTCGACGCTGCTTCTCCAACATGCTTGTTGGCCATCAAAAGACAGTTAATATGACCACAGATATTACAGTGGTGGAATGCGGCCGACCGCACAAAGTTGAAATTGTCATGCGGATGGGAAACCTGCAGGACGAACTGCATGCGGAATTCGATAATAATCGGTTTATAGCGACTTTTTCTTTGGCGGAATAAACAAAACAACAGCGGTAGCACGTGAAGTCCCTCCGATTGTGAATGGTTATATTCCACAGTTTGGTGGCTATCTTTCAGTGAATATTGAGCGATATTATGAATTGGATTTGGGCATCACTCACCACCACAGGCATACGGAAGATCGAAATTTGATGTATATCTTTGTAAGTGATTAATTTTGCTTTGATCATAGATAATTCTTGCCTTCTATATTTGCTTAGCTTTTAAAACCTTTCAACGTACAACTCGTCGCATGTGCTCGTGGCAAGGATGCACACAAGTGTCTTGTATGTGTAGACATATATTTGACCAAGCCCACCGTGAGGTTTTACGTGTCCCGGAGAAATGAAGATTGGCGCCCAACTTTTTATACCCTGGTTTCAAAAGCTTGAATCGAGGACCGTGGCTAGACCCACTAATATCGTTAAACTCTAATTTTGAAGTAGTCTCCCATACATTCAAATTGTTTTCTTTTCAATGAAGAACCTGATGTCACTTTGCTCGTGTTCACCTCCTCTCTAGATCGACCGTAACTATGGCAACAGAGGTTCTAAACAGATGTATGTCAATCCAATAATTTTTGAAGAAATTTCTCTGTCATTTTGTAAGTATTTCTTTTGTTGTATTTTCATATTTTCGAATTTCTATATCGAATTAAAATTTTTTTTCATAGCTTTAGAAGTGATCATTAGCGCCTCAACACAAATGTTAACAACAATTTATCATTTTGCCGTCCGCATTTGTTTTGCTTGTTAAAGCTAAGCTCTGTTGATTCCAGCAGCATCGCCTTATCAATGAAGGAGCATGCTAGTAAGATATGGGGAGGGAGGGTCAAATAAAAATTTTAGGTCATTTCCTTTTTATTGTCAGAAAAAGCCCTGTTGCCAACAGGAAACCCTAATTTTTGCGAACCTCGCTGACTAACTTATGGTTACGTGAAGACATCGTAGAATCACGTCAAAGTTCTTTACTTCTTGCCAATCATTTTTTTATCGAATTTGGACGAAATGCAAAATTGATGCTGCCATGGAGGGCGTGCCCCCCCCCATTCCCCCCTAGTCCTTCCATTGGCTCTTATGCCACTGCCATCATCCTATAGTTCTTATGCAGATTTATCATTTTTTATTCAATTTCAATATTCTGATTAATGTCACCGGAAAAGTGACATAGCAACGTCTGATCTAAAAAAGTTGGATCAATCAGCTAATGTTCTCATACAACAGGGGTGGGCAACCTACAGCCTGCGGGCCAGAATCCGGGCCGGGAAAAGAATTTTGGTGCTCCACGAGATGATAAAATCATATCAAAATTTTTTTTGGGTGGAAAGGACCAACAAGCTTTTTCCTTTTTTTTATATTTCTTTTTTAAGCTTGCAATAGTCTTTTTCTTTGTAAACCCAGGCTAGCCAATTGCAAATTACCTTTGTAATAGTGAAATTTGTAATTGTAGTTTTAGTTGAATCGAAAATGAAAAGTTTCCATTACAATTCTATCGAATTCGGGTTTCCTATTTTTGTCCGCTTAAAGAAAGCGTTTGAAGGATCTGGCCCACTCTCCAAAAAGCTTGCCCACCCCTGTCGTACATCAACACCAGGAAGCGCTCGTAATTTGTCCGCGTCTCTGCATGATGGGACCTCGCGCGCCTAAAGCTTGTAGCGCCTGCAATGTGGAAGCATGACGGACGCTACAACAGAGGCAGTAGCGAAACAGAGGCTCATGGAGTAAGTCTAGTGGAAACAAAGCTGGGCTGGAGAAGCTTGATCCAGTCTTCTTTTTAGATCAGTGCTAGCTGCTAGCAACCATGAAAGCCCCTTCAAAATCATATCTTTTTCAATTTGAGCCTCCTAATGAAATCGAGTTTTGTTTCATGGGAATTTTAGGTAAAGACTCATTACTACCAAGGCCACCTGGTGGACATTCAACTTTAAGCGCTGCAATGTCGGCTCTCGTAGCTATATCCGTTGTTGCTGTTGTTGCTGTTCTCATTGGTTTCGTTGTCTACCGAAAGATGCGACGGAATAAGCATGCGGATGGACTTCCATATCAAATTGAACTGAATTACGATGAAGAAACAGATCCTTCATTTAGAGATGATTTGTGATCGACTTACATGACTTTGTCTAAGAAATTAGCTTGCAGAAGCCTGCAAAAATGAGTTAGGTAGATCGTTTTCCAATTTAAACATTATTTATTAAGCCTTGCTTGTATTACAAAAGATCCGATTTAAGGTTTAGAGAGCAGCAAAATTTATTCAAAGTTTAATGAGATGTCTGCTTGAAATGCTTTTATTTAATCTTAATCAATGAATCTTAATAAGTTAAAATACAGCACCCAAATCAACACAACTCTCTCCTTTTTCTTAGTAATGATTAAAGCATTGAACCTTTTCTTTTGTTTTGTTTTCAAGATAAACAGACCCATTTTCTCTCTAAAATAATCTCGTGGATGAAAACTTCAGTCAAAGAAATAAGTCTCTCTTTCCCTCCCACTTTCGTTGTCGTGGATCCAGTTGGTATATTTCATGGTATTCGTTAATTACTTATTTTCAAGGTATCATCATGTAAGTATAGAACATGTGCTACTTCAATTATAAGCTTTGAAGTTCATCCATTTATCTAGGCCCAGAAAGGGACGGGTAGAAATATCTTTACTCTATAACCAACTACTCAGCTCTCTATCTGGAAAAGAATATATTGCTCTAAGTGTGATGCTTAAACGTCGCTATCTTAGTAACTTAATTGCTGTATTGACAGTCAGTCCAGTCTTGTACATTAAATGCAACTTTTGAGCTGAAAGGAAAGGCTTAGGATTTGAAGACCATGATGTTTTGGATGTGACTTGAAGCCTTAACCCCTTTATCGAGCTTTCTCGAGTCTACGAAGTGCTATATAGCTGCCAAAATTCTGCTGATCTTTGGCCATCTATATTTTATGTGTAGGCACACAAAATTTCGTAACGATATATTTATTGCCAATGAAAAGCAGAAGGTGAAATGAAGGCATAAAACAAGATAACATCAAGTGTACCACACTTAAACTTGAAACGTTAATATCGGAATTATTTTAGCGACACTGTGCATTTGAGGCCTCTTTTCTGTTACCTGAACAAATTCAATTCATTTCAAGCTGTCATCTTCTAGCAGTCCAAACGTTTGGCTCTTCATCGGCTAACTCGTTAAAATAATAGTTTATTCTTTCCTACCGATTCTTGTGTAAAATACCATTGAATATTTGATTCAAGTACATGTTGTATTGTTTTATTCCCTTGTTTTATTTCCAAGATATTTTTTACTTTTTGTCACATAAAAGATTGTAAATGTTGAACTAAAGCGTCAGTCGTATGGAAAGGCTACAAGATGCGAAACTTGAAGTTGGTTACCCATTCCAAAGACCGGTGGACATTTATTTTGGGGGGAGGACAGAAGGCTAGGGGGACTAATTTTCCGACAAATTTTGTGAGATGGAGGCTCCATTGACCTGAAATATCAAACTTTTTCGATTTTTAAAAGAATCAGGTGCCAAAGGGCTGTAGCTCTCCTGCCCTCTTCCACTTAATCCTTCGCCCAGTACAAAAACGATCCTACCAAGTTGCTGCTTAAAGTGCCACAAGTCCGTCTGTTTTACGGTCAGCGTTTTAGCTTTGCAAAAAGCTGTCATATTACCCGTACAGTGCAACGGAGAACTTCACAGTCATAAAGACATTCGTGTTACATTCCAACAAAGACTGACCTTTTAGTTCACCACCTGTGTTTGTATCCTCCCTTTCGTATTTAAGCCAAAGCCCATCACGTCTTGTTGACTGATGATGGCCTTTACAATATTTAAAACTTTGGATATTAACTAGTTTTTGAATGCATTTATATAGAAAGAGGTTGTTTTGCAAATCGTTGTGATTTCCATAAAAAGGAAAGCCTGTTTATTTATCCTGTGTGTTTTATTTATTCCCTTTCTGGTTCCATTTGTGCCCCTATTTTCTCTGTGGATTCCTTTATCATATTTTAGCACACCCTTTCGATGTGTAAAATGTTGTCGAGATCATATAGGGAACACCATTCCCTTCCAAACCTATTGTATTTTTTTGCATTTACTTTCTACCATTATTTTGTGGAAAAAAGGTTTTCCAGTTTTCGAACCTTGAACTTGAAGACAGGTCTAATGAAAAAATAACTACGACCAAGGCCTAAAGATCGAAATGCCGCAAATTGGATAGCAGTGTCAAGTTATTTCATTATTTCAGACTTATGGCAGGTTGAAGAGCACATTTGCATTAAAAAGAGCCTCGAGAGCGCCTTAAAGTTTAAGTTCGATATTAAATGAAAATATGTAGACCAAGTCGGGTCGATACCGGCTAATGGGTTTCTAATTTATTGCAGGTAAACACCAAAGCAACCGGTTCGCTAGGTTCGGGAATCTTTTTCATATTTTCAAGTGAAAATTCAAGTCAATCAGCTAGAAAAGGCCAAAACAGTAGAGCACGAAAAACGAAAAGTGATAGTACGCACTCTATTCTGGGTAGATTCTCATAATAAATGCAAAAGCCGTGCAACCCTACAAGAACATACGGGACATTAGCATTGAAAAGTCAGTTTCACCGGGAATGAAGCTTAAATTGTGAAGCTTATTGGTTGAGGATTCCCTTTCAGAAACTATGTTGCGGAATTGGAAAATGCAATGGGAAAACGCCTTTTACATTGATTAAAACAGTGTATCCGTACAATTGGATGCTTCGAGGGGTGAGGGATGCTTCGAAGGGGAGGGGTAAAGCTCGGTCTAAACCAATCAACGTAGAAGTAGGTCAGTCTAACCAATGAGATCACAGAACAGCTGGAAGCATGTCAACATTTTATCAGCAGTGTTTACGTTCTTCCTCACAACTGCAATATATATGGACTAACTACTTTTCCAGTATTAACTCATTGTTCATATTTTTGTATTCTCTGCCTATGTTTTAGTTGCACCTGTCCTTTCTTCCGCCCTACATTCTTGCTACATTCATTGTTTCTTTTAACAGGATGTTAACAAAGCACTCGGAAACTTTATCGACGACTCTCAACTTTACAAGTTAACGGCTGAAGGCTTTTTATTATTTTGAACTTAATAACGATAAACAATTGAAAATTACGACAAAACGGACAAAATTATCGAGCTAGTTCGACGCAGCTTGGCTTCGTTGGGCCGGCTGGAGTTCTTTGATTTGCTTTATCAGGTAAGTTTTTTCATCATTGAACTGTTCGTCCTCTGCAAAGTTAAAACAGATACTATAAAAGTGGGCCTAAAGAAATCTTTCAGTCAGCATGAAACTTTTCGGCAAACAACTACATTTCAATTTAAATTGAATGGGAATTGAAGTTATTTCTATACGACCATTAAACATTTGCAAATCTTTATATAGCAGCTGTGATACATTGTGTAAAGAATGGTGTCCCCGGCTGCAGGTTTACGTTCCAAACAAGTAGGACGGGTGTAGCTAGTTAAGCAGGGGGTACAGCTAATGCCCGATAATTCTACGGCTGATAATTAGAACATGATGCTTTCTTTCATTTCGCCATGACAAGGATGCACAAAGCACCTGAAGAATGAATGACCTTGAAAAAAATCGAGAGATACTAAAGTGGCTTAAGACATCTGTCAATCAATATCAGCCAATCATCAAGCGTGTGAGTGTTATCACAATCACTGATTGGCCAATAAACTTACCTGTTCGATCTGTGTGAAACATGGTTAAAAACTCCACTAGTCGATCTTTGTTTTTTATGAGTATGTCTTGTATTGGCTGTGCCTTGTTGGGATTTGCGACGAAGACCTAAAAATATGGAGAATCAAAAATATCTTATTGCTATAAAGTAACCAAATATAGGAGACGACTTGAAAGCACAAGATGCAAAACAAGGCGAGGTTAAAAAGGCACAATGTAAACGTGTGAATTTCAAGAACATTTGGATATTTAGAGGGGCAGTTTAGGGTGTTCCAACAACTGATATTTGCAGTCATCACTTTATTATATTATTTCCCAGGCTATATCAGGTTACGTTTTGTCACGAATATGATTCTACTATCGGACAGCATTTACTTAAAAACCCAGATTGTGCCAACAACTTTGATGGCAAAAGGTTATTGGCAGAGCCCGGTTGTTTCCATTCGAAGTTTCAGAGTCTATCTACATAAAGATAGAAAAACCGCTATTGTGTAGACAGAAGGAGTTCAATATACCATGGACTCGGTTAGCAATATTTTCTGTCGGCAAGGGGCACTGATTGAGCAACTTCAACAGTCATGGGCTTTCTTTTCCGATTGGCCTTTCTCTATCTTAAACTTGGTATATATAGCTCCTAGCTTAGATTTGTTCGATCTATTTTCTAACGTTTATGTTATGCAGAATATCAGGTGTAAAGCTTCAATATGTTTAAAAATGCTTGCTTTTTTCACAGCTATTTTTAATTTTTTACCGCCAAAAAGTTATTTACATAGAGTCCCTTGTAAATTCTCCAGGAACAACATGGATCTGGTACCGTGACCATTGCCTACCAGTGCACTGTCGAATATTTCATTCAGCTAAAATTCGACAGTGAGTGAAGCATTCAAAATTCTCAAAAACACACAGAAAACATTTGTTCATCTAGTTCCTGATATAATTGGCGCTTACAGTAATATTTTAACGCGCTGATAAACTTTTGGGTGTCATTGCAACATGCAGAATTTAAAAGATTTCACAGTTCATTACTCCAAGAGCATGTCGAGTTGACAAGGAATGCCCATGTAGGAAAGAGGACATTACCTTGATGTTTTGAAGGACTCTATAGAATCAATAATTTTGTCAATGTTGTCTGCAGAAATGATTCAGCTAGCCGCAGCATCTAATTTAGTGGGCTTGAAAAAGAACAAGATTGCATAGGACAACCAAGTCCCATTTCGTTGTGTCTAAGCCTAGATCTCTATGGGCAGACTCATCACGTTACATGAAAGAAGAAACATATCTTTAATGACACAGACACACAAACATACCTTGAAGACATGAAAAGCTTCAAACTGTATGTTTCGGCTTTTGTCTTTCAACAAGTTCATCATAAGCTTCAAATTGTCTGGATTGCCTATGTATTTTGTCATCACTGAGAAATTATGCCGATCTAACAATAACTCTCCAAGGAGCTTAAAAAAGAAAAGATTAAACTAGTTTAGTCACAAATAGAAATAGTAGTTAAAGGCCGTTTGATTGATTATAAACCATCTCAGTGTAAAAATCCTAAATAGCTTACTTATTGTCTTTCAACTCGACATATGTAACAGAACACGTGCTTATAATCACATGGATTCACATGCTCAATTTTTACAACCAATCAATGGATACAAATTTATTGAGTGCGTTGTCTTTGTCTCTCGCTCTTCCATTACGTAAAACCTCTCGTGTTATGGTGCGGAAAACATAAAGCAACCTTTCTTTTAACTAGCTCTTCCATTTAATTTCTTCCTCTCCGTTTAACATGCTTAAGCTTACAAGTGACTGGGTCAAACCTGGTCGCAAAAACTTTTCCACAAAAACGTTTTCGCTGTTTCATTTTCCTTGCTGTGAAAATTTTTATGGGGATTATGTCTAAGGTAAAAATACAGTAGAATGACCTGGCTTATGATCAACGACAGTCACATAAAAGATCCTTTAAACCAAGTGCCAAAGAGTTGAAACTTTAAAAATGGAAAAATGAAAGAATGCAAGTGAAAATGAAATAAATAAAAGTTGCTCACTTTCAGAGACTGTCGCTTGGTTACATAATTTTCTGAATCTAACAGTTTTCGATAATTTGTAAAAACCTAAGAGAAAAATTATTATATCTTAAAACAAAATGCTTTTAAGATTTCGACACAATAAGCAGAAGTTGAACAAAGAGTGCAGATTTTTCATGGTCTTGGAAGCTTCGATAATGGTATACATTAGCCTTGTAAGATTTTGAAGCCATTAGTTTGTAGCCACTAGTTTTGTTAGGGTGCAAGATGTCACTTGGTCCAAATCAAAACAGCGATTGGACAAACTGACTGATAAACAGAATTTGCAAATTTTCCTCTAGCTAATGATAATAAGATCTTTGAAAGACCAAATAAAAATAATATTAAAAACATAATCAATTATAAAAAACAAGGATTTTTGACAAAATGCCCACCTGATCATAGTTTTTATCCAAAAACTCAGCACTTAGAATTTTGTGTCTGGTTAAAAGATCCTAGAAAGTAAAGACATAACACAACTTAAGATATTTACTATTGAATACATTCTGCCAACGATACTAAACAATGAAATTTAATCACTCTGTGAACAGTTTACAGCCAATATTTTTGTGCAACAAATATGCAAAGGTAAAACTGCCATGGAGAAAAAGAGTTTGCCAATATGAGTTGGATATGCCATTATCCATACATCTACATAAATATTTAGAATATTAATCTTTCTATGTGACAACACCAACATGGGAACAGAACGGTTGCAAAATATTGAGTAGTTAAAATGCCTAGAAAAATTTTCAAAATTTTTATTTTTCAGATGTGATTCTGCAGAATAAGGATGTTATCAATATTTCAAGATAAAAGAACCATTATAAACCTGAAATGATCAATGTTAAAGAATGAACAGACAAACACATGGCTCCTTTGGTTGAAATATAAAAGCTTGAAATTCATCATAGACAAAACACTTTTAAACACATTATTAATCCTTATTTTTATGCCTGTTTGTAAGGTCTTCAAAGAATTATAAAGGAAACCTGAAACAGCAGTATGTGTGATTCAAATGTCCTTTAGAAAGATAAAACCAGTACAGATGATTCTGCAAGTTGGATCATTTTCAGGCAAATGACAATTAGATAATCTTCAGGCAAAGAGGTGAAGCCATTGTCAAAATCCTTTTCAAGGCCATACAGCAAATTCCATGCAATCTAATTCCTGGCATAGAGACATTAAAACTTACTTTCCTAAACACTTACCTTGAAAGATGTGAAAGCATCTGAAGCAATGTCAAATGTTGACATTTCCACGTATTTGAAAAAGGAATAGAATTCCTTGGATTGGAGCAACAGTTTTGCTAATGGCTCATGCCGCAGACACTCTCTAAGCATCATGCCACAGTGTAATGATATATCCGGGTTTTCATACCTGGCAAAAAATTAGACACCTGGATTAATACTAATATGAAAAACAATTAAAACACACCATATTTCAAGTTAGTTTTGGTTTTCAAGTTCTTACCAACTTGAGATCTTTATATGTAAAGGGATTTGTTAATTAAAATAGTTTTAGCTGGCTCTCTAGGCCTATCTTCTTACATGCCACGTTTCAAGCATGTCAGGACGTCAAGAGCATAAAGACACTGTTTTGATCATATGAGGATTTCCACTACAGTAGCTTCAAGAATAAACATTTGAAAACTTTGACTCTGAGAAATTGGAAAAAACTTATAATGATCTTTTAAATTTAGGGGTTTGAGACATCATAATAAGAAAATTTTAATATCTCAAATAGAAAATTAGAAGGTGGATAATGAAAAGCTAAAAAAACTAACCCTTTTAAGAGAGAGAATAAAATGTGTTCCTCGTTATGGATATATTCCACTGTTGGTGACCTGGTACCAATTTGTCTTCTCAATATGTTGTTGAAAATTTGTACAACATCTTTCTTTGCCTAACAGAAGATAATTGCATCAAACAAAGTGTAACAGCAGCATAGAAACAGGCAAAAAACATGCTGGTCGTGTTTAATATATTACCTCAAAATCTAGTTTGCTGAGATTTCTTATCAGGGAGGCGAATAACTGTTGTGAGTAGAATTCCTGTGACAACTGTGCCACAAGCTCTGTTTGTGGCTCTTGATCTAAAAGAGAAAGATAGATTGACCTTTTAGCATGCTTTATGAAGTAGTGATGCCATCAGATTACAGTACTTTTAGCAGCTGTTTGCAGGAACCAAGGTCCAGTGAAAAAAGAGGAAATCAAGTTACATTTGACTTTTATTTGCTTAAAAGCAAGGATAGACATTAAACAAAGGTAAGTAGCCTATTGCTGTTTATGAAGAATACTGGTAGGCCATTATGCAAAGTCTATATGCAGTGTGTTTGGCCTATTCATATTAAAAATAATTCTTATCGCGTACAATGTTATGAATTGTTGTCAGTATTCTATTTGTCAAATTGATTCCCTCAGACTTTGTCCACTTCACATTTTAGTGATGTTCTGAACTGCACCAAAGCTCAATACTGACTCAATATGAAATCAGCAGGGTTATTGGCATGAATCATCAAAGCATAGGTAACATAGGGACATGTAAGGCTGCATGTCAGACCGACATCTCATCCCTACACCTTCACAGCAGTCTTTTTCTTTCACAGAATTTTTCAACTTTAATTTTTTATGTAAATTCTTCAGAAATACATTTGCCAGGATTATATGCAAGGACCGAGATACTGGGGGGAGCAGGGGCCTTGGCCCCCCCCCCCCAAAAAAAAACTTAAGCAGCAAAATTAAAATACTTTTATTTCATAAAATATGGCTGTTGTTATACTTATTTATCAGGGCTGGACCCCCCAAACAAAAAGTTGTATCTCGGTTGATTATATGTCAAAGATAACACAATGGTAACAGTTGGCAAAGATTATTAGGCTGTAAATGCAGACAGGACTGTGAAGTTCAATTTTTCATTACCTCCAGCACCAAACAATATATTTTTCATGGAGATTAGGTGCTTGGCAACCTCTTCAACAGCCTGCAATATAAATAAAACAGATGTGAGTTGATTGGTCAGCCACAATGATATGCTCCACTTTGCATTATAATAATGAAATAATGAATGCTGAAAAGAAATGCTAAAGCAGGTATCTATAAGATTAATCAAGGGAAGTATATATCTGTAATGTTAAATATGTTTAATAGATTTCCAACAAGGAGAAATTTATAAACATGTAAAGTGGATGACTAAATCAAACAAAAGTTGTCATCCATCCCAAAGATAAGATGAGTAAATATGCACTCAAGATTACTAAAGATGAAAATTAAAATTTTGTTAAAGATATGGATACACAGGTATTGATTTGAAAGGTCTGCATTTTGTAGAATTTACATTTTATATAAAAACGCATAAAACTAGCTTCTTTTGCTGATGGTCAAGTTTCATAATTTTCAAACTGATCATACATTATCAATTTATCATACATTATCTAAAGCAGATCTCAAACAGTTTCATTAAAATGCCATTAATGTTAAGCACTAGCCAAAATTTGGCCAGTAAGAAGATCTTCATAAAAAACTGCCCAAATATTTTGAGTAGAATTCAACAAAGACTAGCATCTCAGATCTTATAGTGGCTGTTTCATCACTTTCCTTTTTATATCTTATTCAAAGGACTTGTTGCAAACTAGAAACTCCATGGTTTAATATTGCTTGAATTAAAAGAAAAACAGTTTCACTTTCAGTCAAAGTGCAAAGAGTTTGACTTAATCTCTCTTTTCAAAGAGCAAAATGTTGTCTTTTCATTGCTCTCTTTCAAACTTCATCTGTTTAGGTCATATAAAAGCTGAGTTCCTAGCAGCTTCCAAGACCAGTGCAAAAGATATTCCTAACTGACTCAACTTTATGCAAGGTCATTCCATATCAAACAGTAACAAATATGAAACCCACTCTGTCAGGAATAGCCAATTTTTTCTATAATTATTCATACTTACAAGACTCATCCTGCAAATTTTAACCCCAAATATTTGATTGTTCCAAGATTAGAACTACTGGAAATTTGCATAACATTGTTACTCAAATTGAGCCAGTCAAATTTGTATAAAATTGGACATTTTGAATTTTTGTGGTAAATCACTTTAGACAGGGACATATTTCAAGAGGGCTTTATTAGAAGGCACCAAAAATCATATGAAACTCTCAAAATTATTCCCCAAAAAAAACAGACCAATATGACTTATAAACCTTATCTTAGGGAAAAATCAACTTAGCAATCATTTTTTTTGTCAAATTCTTCATCATCAGTTTGCCTACTGTATACAATAAAAAAATATGATTCCATGGATTCAATTACACGCATTTTTTATAAAAAAACAGGTTATAAGAAACAGTAGGGTCAATTTTTTGAAAGTTAAGAAACAGCCCTACCCAAATTGAAAAGAGCTAAGAAACTTTTATAAATTACAGTTTTAATTTTCCAAGTTGACACTGGAAGCAGTCTTGACACTGAACATCACTACTGCAACACTACACTTGACATGCAGTTTGCATTAATTCTCAGTAAGTTGCATACTCAAGAAGTTTTCATTTAAAAATTTGCTTTGACTTCAACTTGACATTGATGTATTTCAATGAACTTAACTGTTTACAGATCTCAACAGAGTTAGTCATTCTAGGAAATCAAAATTCCTTGATCATTTTGTCAGTTTATCTGTGAATGTGAGTGAACTATTTACTATACCTTGGAAGCACGTTTAAAAAATTTAATACCTAAGAAATTTAAGAAACATGTAAGAAACTTCTGATAGCAAAATGGCCTTAGTTTCTTATAAAACAAAATATGTGTACCTACCTATGGGAAATTGAGAAACTTATGAGCCAATCTGATGCAATCCATGGGTAATCCTTCTACATAAAATGCCCTGCAGTTAGGTGTTGATGCAAGCCTCTATAAAACATTTTTAGCTTTTGGCTTGCCTAAGATTATAAGATATTTTCATTACTAGACTCTAGAAGAAATAAAGAGCGAGAAAAGTCCTTTATCCCCCCCCCCCTTTTTTTGTAGCCAATTCTCAGTATAATAGACATTATGTGACAATTAATTTCAATATCAGTTCTTTAACATCTTCATATGTTTCTGTTATAAATTGAATTTAGCCTAGACTGCAGGTATTCATCTGACTGGGGAAATGACTGTTTTCACATTAGCACAACAACCATATGAACATATTACTTTCCATATAAATACAGAAAAACCAAAACATGATATGTCAATACCTTTTCAGACTTTTTTCCTTGTTCATCCTTCTCTAGGATCAACAGGGAATCTCGAAGATTTTTTGCAATCTCTGCAGGGTTTTTCTTTGAAGAACCAAACAAGGGCATGTTCTAAAAGAAAAAATGGCAAATCAGATTGGAAAACTTTCCACGACATACCACTGTGAAAAACACAAATCATATGGCAAAAAGCTTTGGGAAAATACAATTTCTATAAACCCTTTGCAATACTTCGCTGTGAAAAAACTCATTGGACAGATGTAAACTTTGAAAATAGAGTAAAATGCTAATGATTTAAAACATAACATAAACTCATAGTGTGAGCATTATGAGCATTAATAGTTTACACAGAGCTTTGCTTGCAAAAAGAGCAGTTTCAACTGGCAGCACTTTTTAACAATAAATCAAAACAAAACAAATAAAAATATGGGAAGAATAATAAAAAATCACTACTTCGGGGATAAAAAGTTTGAGAATATCATCAAATCTTGCCATCAAATCTGTGTAGTTAGAAAGCTTATCTGCAAAGACGGAATGATATAGAAAATGCCTGAAAAACATGTAGATATGGGGGCATAGTTTACCTTCAATTCAGGAAACTGAAACAAACAAGTTTTGAAAGTGATCAGGGGCAGCACCACGGTGTGGACTTGGGTCACCCTCTTTTTTTAAGATCCACTTTTCAATTTTTCCAAAACTGGATTAAAAACATAGGTTTAGTTTTCTTTTCTGAGATCGGAACGTTTTTCATTTTGATGGTCAGTTACGGTTCTTTTCAGATCTTAGCTGACATAGAGTATGGTGTGTTGGATCATCAGTTTCATAAATAGCGAGAAACTAAAATGAAGATGATCTATAAAACACAGCTTTATCATGCTAAACAGTTGGTTTTTAGAGCGTGGTCTTTGCTTTCCTTCCTTGTTGAAGGTTTTGGGCAATAATTAACTTTAAAGTTTACCATGTTGCACAGTTGTCCCACCCAGAGCCCTTTATAAGCTCTACCCCTTCATTGTCCACCCCACCATTTTGGGGCTGGCTACTCCCTTGAAAGTGATGCTAAGGTGGTCTATGGTTTCATTAGCTAACATTGTCAATTTTATAACAAAGCCTCATAGATTAGTTATCTTGAATCAAAGCAGTTTTCATGATGAAAAGATTTGTCTCTATGTAGTCTTGTGTCTGATTTCACATTGACATTCTATAATCTCAACACTGGAAGAAACACAATGAGAACATTATGCAGCATAATACAGCTCCCTTCTATTTATGGTGGATTACGTCACTTGTATTTGATCTTAATAACACAAAATAACAAAAGCAATTATTTAAACAATACAAAGTATTTGGCAGCAGTTGGGTTTTGACACTGAGATTGCTTATGCGACATTTCTTCAAGTAGAACTTCCTGTCTCAAATATTTTTTTCATTTCCAAAACAAGTACATAGAGAATGAAAACATTCTAAAGTGGATTTTCGACAAAAAGAGGAAGATCGCCACTAAATCCAATAAAACAATAAACCTCTGGTCCAAGTTGCTACCAGTATTATAGTCCCAAAACTATAATTAAGATCAAAACTATAATTAACAAAAAACCCATCTGATGAGTGTTTTTTCAGCTATCTGTGAATTTTCATTTAGATCTTCGCTGCTCTTTTAATTTCTCTTTGTTTATAGATCATTATAACCTGACATTCAAACAGAAAACATATCTGCTTTGAACAGCAATTATATTTTAACTATAAACTTTGAATCTGCAAAAACCAAATTATACATACCTTAGTGTATCAAGGAAAAATCTATTCCACTTGTGAAACTATTTGTAGCACCATGTATGTTGCTGATAGCGTTTTGTTACTTGATTGAATACCACTACAGGATCGGGCCTAGCTGGACTCGTTGGTATAAAGGCGCTGTCCAACAACTTTGGTTTTGGACGCAAAACGGTCTTGACTCGCTTCAGCAAGAGTTCTTTGAGATCTTCCTGATCAGTTTCAAAGTTTAAAAGAAAGAAACACGTGGAAACTCCCTATTGTTTGCTAAAATGCAGGAATTCGTCAAATTTGCAGCGAGAGTTCCACTTCCAGTTGCGCTGTTTGTAAATGAGGAAGGCTTGTGGATAAAATACGGACTGCGGGCTGATCAGGGGTCTCATCAATGAAGGGTGGATGCGGCACATGTAAACAGTGAGGCTATTCGCTTGTAAGTACACGGCCAAAACAATTTACCGTGAATAGATTCTAAGGACATGAATTATTTGCACACGACCACTATCATATCGATGTTATCCCCAACTTGGTATGGGGGAAGCGCCAGAAGTTCACCAGTGAAGTGATGGACAGGGGGCTAAAATTTGTTTAAGACAGTTGAAAAGCCGCCCGTACAAAATTGGAAAAACTGCATTGGAAAAAAACAGTTTTTTGCCTTCAAAAGTTCATTGTCGCTAACATTTTCTTTATATGTCACTCACTTTGTCGGCAAAAGGAAACTCGGCACCACCCTTGAGCACAACAACCCTAGTCTACGGGTTTCGCTCAATAAGAGTCAAAGCGAAACCAAACATTTAGAAATTATTAAAGTCTCAGTAAGGTTTCATTTACAGGGGATACAAAGCCTGGGGCAGCGCCTCTCGTGACCCGCAGAGTACAACATATATCTAAGAAATATTCTTTGGATCTCGTGAAAAAGTATTGGATAAAATTGTGTGAGAGAAAAAAATTCTAAGAGCATCTAGAAAGGGGAGGTCATCAAAAATCAAGAGAGAGACCCCTACTTCGGCACTCTTAAGTGAATTTCCAACCCCCCCCCAATGAGATATTTAAAAAAAGACCACTACTGATCACCCCCAATCTTGAGAAACTTGAAAAAAGATTTGGTGGAAATGATTCTTTTTGATAAGGCACCTGTTTCTGGACATAGAAATATAGGAAGAAGTCCTCCTTGTGACCAATTCGGGGTTTTATTTCATGTCATGTCACCTCACGATTTTGTTGTTCTAAAAAACAGCTCTTTATAATTTTGTATTTAAGAAACTATCAAGATGTCCTGTTAGCACAAAGTCCACTTAGTTTCATATAGAAAAATTGTATTTAGCTCAGTTAGTTCAATAACATACAAAATTAATGTAAAATGTTGTACCAGCACGAAAAGTTTGCAACCTACGAAGTTTTATTTGTAGAATAAGCAACAAAGCAGATCCAAGTTGAAAAATTCCTCTAAAAGCTATTTTCAAAACATGGAACTTAGACAGGGGCGAAGCCAAAAAGATATTGTCGGAAGGGTGCAGAAATGATTTTTGCCGAAGAAAAGGGCGTAACTTGCTCTTAAAGGGAGTGATCAAAAGTTAAATAATCTTATGTGTTGCTTTTGTGCGTTTTATTTCAAAATTCAATTTTTAATGCCATACTTTGAAACTTCAACTTTTACCGAAATGTTGATACGTTACAGCAAGATAAATTTCTTCTTTTGCCCGGCAAAAATCCTTTATGCGCCGTTGGACAAAGTGTTGGGGTAATAGCCCCCCCCCCCCATAGCCCCATATTTGGCAACGCTCTTGAACTCATATTAGGGGCAGTTGTCCCCCTTAATTTATAGCTTAAAACCTTCGAAATGAATATGGCAAGCTGATACAGTATAGCTTACCTCTCAAATTTATGCCGATTTTAGAAAATATTGGTTTTCCTTCGTTCGCCTTGCAATTTCCCGTACTGATCTTCCTTTTGCCAGTATTTCCGCTTGAGTGATTTTGCCTCAGCTGAAAACAGCAAGTTAGACCACTGATCAGTGAGTTAGACATCTAGCGCCTTCGTGGCGCCTTCGACGCTTTGATATCGAGGTTGTTTTGGTGCTCTCTATCATCAAGTACTACTATTATGGAAAGATGGTGGAAGAAGAATAGGGTGCATGCAAAAACAATCACAAATTAAAGCTAAATTTATTGCACAGAACTGACTATTCCATAAAAATAAAATCGAAGAGAAGTTCCAACGTAGCTGAAAAAGTTTTATATGATTTTTGAATTTTATAGTTGCGTGACATTTGAATGAGTTCATGCAATAAAAGGAGCTGAAAATTAGCACAGAAAAATTCCGTCCTGTTGGTTATAAATTGTTGGGAAGGAAAAACAGAGTTAATAAATCTTGGTGTCTTTATCACAGGAATGAACAAATTTGAAGCGTAAGTATTATCATTTAACCTTATTTACTGTATGCAAATCTCCTCTTTTTCCCAATTAATAATATATTATATTATATTATTGCCTGCACAACTGCAACCGCTTATTGCAAGCAGACCTTTTCCTTAAAAGATAAGACTGTTAGAAATCTACTTAACTTCTACCAGCAATTTATAAGCAAGCATATGAGCAGAGGCTATTTGAGCTGGATCTTCCATTAAAATTTGACTTTTTAGCATGTTATGTATACAGCTCATAGTACACGCTTTTTTATAAGAAACCTACCTCAAGGCCTAATTCCAAAAGCTCATTATTCGTAGACCTCAAATCATCAAATTGTAGTACCAAAAGTTCCTTTATAGATCCTTAATTTGTTTTGACTACAATAAGCCTTAACACTTAATAAATGGAGAGAGGGGCAAGACAGCATGTTACTGCTTTCTGTGTTTGCTGCTAAATCATTTGTTGGTTTGTTTTTAGCCTGAAACTAGTTGACGACAATGATAATGGCAGTGACAAAGAAGAAAATGACAATCAACAGGTGAGATTCTATCATAGAGTGTATTCAGTCTTTTATGATTTATGCATAGTCAGTGAAACATAAAGTTTTCTCTGCAGTTGCAGACAGCTGATCAAACATTTGGGAGGGCAAGCCTATTGTTTTTATAAGATGATGCAACATTTGTCTATTTGTATATTTGCAGAAGTGAACCTTGAAATCAGACATCAGTGTTTTTTAAAACCTTTGACATGCATTGCTGCTAACTTTTGTGCAAGCATTTTCCTGTATAATTAAAAGTATTTAAGTCTGATAACTAGGCATGCAATGCAGAAATTTCAAAAACAAGCTCAGAATATTTCAATGTATCAATGAATACATGTTTTTGGAAGGAGCAAACAAAAACATAGGCAATAATCTTCAGAATGCTATGCACTGGATAATTTAGTTATATTCTTTTTTATGGAAACATTCAGTTTTGTTTTTATAGAAATTCTTTTACCTGACCAACTTAGGAAATTCTTTAGCCAATCTAACCATTTTCAGGACAGGGGTCCAGTTCCTCCTTGGCCCATTAACTTTGACACCACTGATCAGGAGAAAAGTTTATTACTCTAAAAAAGAGCAATATTGCCTTCTCCCCACATTCCCTACCTAGAAAAGTTAAAACATAGTTTCAGACACAATTTTCTATGGCAAACAGACAGCAGTCAAATTGATTCATTTTATTGTCTAATGCTTTTGACATTAGCTTTATCATATGAATTTATGAAACTAGGTTATATTCATTACAAGTGTAAGACATAGATGACTTGTACAAAACTCACAACTTAAAAACCAGTTTTTGTGTTGTCTTCTTTCTTTGATAGCTTCAAGTTTATGCGTATTTTATTATTAATTCTAGGTATTTACTTACTTAGAATGATTACACTAATCAAACTAGTTTACAATAATACTTTATTTCCCTTTTTTTCCCTCAGAATGGAAATATTGAAGAAAATGGAAAAGATAAAAATGAGGAAGGAACGGTAGGAATTTAATTTTTAGTAACTCCATCTTTCCCACTTTTGATAAGAGAGTGCATTGATGCAGTACTTAGGTTTTCCTTTTTGTTTTTTAATTTTCTTTGAGCAAATCTTTTAGCTCTTCTCTTGCAGATTATTAAAAATATGTGTGGTTAATTTACAATTATTGCTACTTAATGATTTACACATGATCTCTATTATTAGTAACTAATTATCATGAAATAGTCAAGCCTCTCTGGGAAAAAAGCACGGGGGCTAAAAAGACCCAAGGTGGTTTGTCTGCATGGGCTATTAAGCCCTTACAGAATTTGATGTTTATCTATTCATGCTTTATCTATTCCTACTTGTAAATAGTCTGTATCTTAAGAGAACAATTTTTTGTATTTTACTACTCCTTAAAATGACAAAAGAGATATCTAGTTTTTATGCAAAATGGCAAAGTTTTTTTGTAGGAACACAGATTTATTAAGTAGGATCCTAGTTGAGAATGCAAGACCGGAAAGGAACTATTTCTGTTTTTGCTTTGAAAAATTTAGTTTTTTTAATTTTTTTTCCGATTGCCCAGTACTCGTTTCTTTTGTCTATAGCTTATCCATAGCGTGTTTCTTTCAAAATATGAGATTATTTGTAATACAAATATCATACTCGACAGTGTCGTGTAACAATTCTCATTCTTGCTTTTTTACGCTATCTGTTGTTCCTTTCGTGCACCTTTATTTCCATTGCTAGTTTTAGCAGGTTATACTATAGGTTGTTAACATCTTGTTAACAGTTGTCAAAAGAAACCGAAATTTCCTTTTTATATCTCTTTGACACGACTTTATTTATAAATACCCTGATATATAGCAGTAAGTAGATCAAGCATTGGGGAGTGAGACAAAGCGAATTAAATGAGAATATTGCTATAAACAACTGCGCAAGCGGAATTAACAATTGCATTTTTTTTGCGTGGGGTTTTTGCGGGGGTGGGCTTCAACTTAACGGCAAACGAGAGAGTGTTCGTTGAGCTGAAAAACAATATCTCATTAGTCTGGCGAACACCCTCACCCCCAACGGAATGAACAGAACCACAGACCATTAACTTTACAACACAACTAATCACCTATCATGCCATCCCTTACAACCCACACCTTATTTTCCCTAACATTTTGTAATCATTATCACCACCATTACTATTATCAACATTATTTTGACTTTCATTTCCATTTGGACAAACCCTAAACTGCTCTTCTTCTAAAGATACTACAAACTCCTATGATTTTATTTGTATGTTATAACTTTTGTAAATTAGTAGACTTGTCACCAGGCTAGCCGATAGTAACTACCTGTAAAGTGAGGTTACTGTTGTAAGTAAAGGAATGTAAAAAAAAATGTTTTCATAGATAAATATTTATCTTATTATAATCCCATTATCACCAACCTCTACAGCACCTCCTATGTTCTTTCATCACCCACCGCTCCTTCCTCCCCCATTTCCATCATCCCATTTTTTCTTCACTGCCCTGAATTCACGCCATTCAACATTAACCAATCCGGCATCACCTTCTCACGTTTCAATTTTATCCACTCGTTCGTTCCATTTAATCTGACAAAGCCCTGTATGCCAGGGCGAAATATTATTGTTAGTTGAATTTAATTTATTTCGTGGTCGTGGTCGTCGTATTGCTTTGTGCCTGCCCGCGTCTCCGGAAAAGGCCTAGGGTCCTTAGCATGAGTCTTAGCATTCTGTTGATTTGTATTCAGGTTGACTAGGCTATACTTTAGGTTTTCCAAGCTATTCTCTGGGTTTCTCAACCCAGCACTCGATATTGCCATTATTTTCATCAAGACCTTTTGCTCATTTTAGGTAGCATCCGAGTTTGGTCCCACCCCAGAAGTAGGACCAGGAGAACATCGACTGCAATTCCCATATGCATTCTGGTTTTCTAAGCGGTACAGCAACAAAACGTCATCAGGTGGTTACGAATCATCCATCAAGCTAATTGGATCTTTTTCGACAGTAAGTAAACATTTTTTAGGTATCTTTTTTAGTTAGGCTCTGTTATTCTATGGTATGAATTTGATTAATAACACAGTTTAAAGAAGAACACCAAAAGTTACAATTTTGATCACAAAGTATCTTGCTCTTGTACATACTCATTAAAGAGTATTGATTATAAACCTCAATTCTGATAAGATAAATTTAATAGCATTAAGCATGCAACCTAGGCCCATATATGGTGTATTTTGAGCCCCAAAATGGCTTCTAGTAATTAGTGGTCCAGAAAAGTGGGGATGCCACCCACAGAATGCAGATCTCTGGCTTTATATCGGACCGGAACTATTTCTATTTCTATAGAACTATTTATATCGGCTGCATTGATGCAGCCTAATACCTATATGTCCTATGCAGACAGGTTTGTGATATGCCAGCCTTACATGAGCAGGAACCCTCATAATATTACCACTACCTTTCGATACACAGACTCACACGCAGTCTTTACAAGTACATTGCTAACCGTAAAAGCTCTATTAAGCCCCCCTCTCTAGGACAAAAAAAATAAACAAGCCCCCCGGGGACTTAATAGAGCTTTAACAGTATACTTTGAAAAGTTCTGGCCTACCTGCCAGACAGTGGTTATCAACAACCAATATGGGTTTCTCGAAACCAAAAGATCTAAGAAGTGTCTAAGCCAACTAGTTAAAGAGGCATCAACGCAAAAAATTAGTATCTCTAAAAAACATTTTCGTCGTTCTAGTTTGTTATGTGAACAGCAAAGACTATCACAAAATAGCTCAATGTTTTCTGGAATACAAAAAGGGGGTCTAATTTAGGTGAAGAAAGTTGAAGCGAGCAAGGGTACTAGTGCCTGCAAGCGAGGGTCGTCTGGAGGCTGATATCGGAAGATTTTAAAAGCGTGTGAATGTCGTCACGCTTACTGGAAATTGAAAACAAACCAATTTTGAACGAACATAGCACAGAAAGGATGAAAGAGGAAAACACGTTTTCTATTCTGGACAATCTCTCACCAGTGAGGGCTAGCAAGTAGTATAATTCAATCATACATAGATTTGATTCATTGTATTCATTGTATAACGGGAAAGTTCAGCATCTAATACCTAGTAGGCCTAGAAGAGATCGGTTGGGAGCGATTCGAAACCCTATTTTTGACTGATTTAATTCTTTCTTGGCTATATCAACCTATTTAATTTCATCAACGTGAGCAGCCATTGTCGCCAGGCAGAAGCTTGCCTTGTGCCAAGAAATCTCCATCAACTGAGAGCTTTCACAACTATGTTCGGATTTCACATGATCAATCGATTGTTTGTTGATGACCATAGGACCGTAAAAATACTAGGTTACCAAAAATTCAGTCGTACTGGTTTCTCTTGCTTGTTTCTCGCAACATGTATGTGATACAAAGCATGTAAAACCATTTTTTGGTAGAACTTTTGTCCCCTCTTCATATGACCAAAATCTTTTTGCGATTTTCGATGGTCGAAATTTTGCGTTGGTGCCTCTTTGAATAGGGACATTGTTATAAATTATAAAATCACGTTTAGATGCTCACTTTCATGAAAGATGGGAAACAGAAAGATTTTTAATTTCAGCATAAAGAACTTTTCGCAAATCTTTGACACGATCTTCGTCTAATAGCCATTTTTTGGAAATTTAAATGGGTCTCAAATGCATTCATGACCATTCATTCACTTCAATTATCATTTGAAATCTTTCTTTGACCTCTGTCCGTCTTCTGATTCGAACATCTTTCATAGCACAAAGTTTCTAAGAAGTTCAATTAGCAAAGGATATCTTTGGATATTTTCGCGAATTTAGTATTTCGGGATCGTTTCGCGGATCGAACTTTCCTTATTTTTGGCCAAAAACGCATAAAACCTGAAGTATCTTCTCGCTAGGTGAAATTTAAGCATCAAAATGAATCAACTTTGCTGTGCAAAGCAATTGGGGTAGAGTAAGTAATTAAAATAAGATAATTTCTATTGCCGAAATAGCCCAGCACTAGAAAGACAACGTAGCTTTTCAAGACATCATTATGTTTACGAAGCAGAAGAATTTCTTTCAATTAGCCATTGTTTGTATTTTCTTGTAAATAGACGTTTAATGCTAGCATTTCGTGCTTCATTTTTCTCCCAACAGGTTGAGCAGTTCTGGTCTTACTACGCCTACATGGTTCGGCCGGGTGATTTACCTGGTAACAGCAATGTACATCTATTTAAACATGGGATTAGACCCATGTGGGAGGTTCGTAGTTTTCAGTTGCTAGTTTTCTATGTTGCATTGTATTTTTTGATAAAAGGGTTTAAAAAAAATCGCCAAGTTATGCCATATAGCAAAGATGCGGGATTATGCATAATGTTTACCATAAAAAAATTATATGTGTTAAGACAAACAGTGAAAAAGAGATCTAGTTACACACATTTTTGGTAACAATGCGAGCCACGAGATGACCAAAAACCCAAGAAACGGAGTACTGATCACCGTCAACCTTAAACAACGACTCAAAAATCCTTCTTTTAAAGATTGGATAAAAATGATTCTTTAAAACGATTAGGCACCTATTTTTCTGTTCAGTTGATTCAAGTAAGTGGAAAGAAAGCCTCTGTGACTGATTATGTGTTCCATGTCTTAAAATCTAAAAATCAGCTTTTTGCCACTTGGTATTACAGACAAATTAACAGTCTCTTATTAAAAATGATTTTAAATTATGTATCAAGGATGGGATCAGTTTGATATGCCTTGTTTTTTATACTATTAAAGAAGGAACAAGGCTCAAATCAAGACTGGAACAGAGATTTGTGGAAAGTAAAGAAACAAGATTGATGATGTTTGGTTTCAATTTTGTGTCCATTTTTAGGACGAGGCAAACAAAGAAGGTGGAAAATGGATTCTGCGGCTGAGAAAAGGACTTGCGTCACGTTATTGGGAAAATCTTGTAAGCTATGATGCTCAATGGGTTTTTAGTAGACCTTCTGCGTGATTTTAGCTCTTTCTTACCTTGAAAGTTTCAACACTTAAATGACCAATTTCTCATTCTATCTTCAGACTTGGCTCTTTGAAAGCTTTTACTGTTTATGTTGCCACATGTTTGTTGGCGCGAAAAATGCACACGTTTAAAATGTTGAAGCTGTTTAAAACCCCTACTGTTTAGAATGTTGCTAGATACAGTACGAATTATGCGCAAAAATTTCCAGCCACTGATGTCGTAGTTTATTTTCAGATACTGGCCATTCTTGGCGAACAATTTATGGTTGACTCTGAACTCTGTGGTGCTGTGGTTTCACTACGGTTTCAGGTAAGCAATTCAATCCCATTCTGTTCTCAAGTACGTTTTGCAAGATTTTCAGTATGAATTTCAGTGTCATTATCGTTTCTGAAAATCTAGATTGTCCTCTAAATGGCCTTTTTATTGTTTCTGTTCTCCCTGTAATCAAAAACTGAAGTAGTTCTTCTCTGGACATACATGATTTTGAAAATTCTTTTACTTTAGTTTTTGCCTGTTAACCAACAGCGAATGCATTCCTAGAAAGGGCTGGCATGTATTTTTCATTGGCAAATAGCGGCAAAAGAAATACTCTGATCTAACTGAACCTTACCCGCATTTCACACAGAAAATGACTCAGAGGATGTAGTGGAAAAGTAGAAAACAGAGAAGGTAGCCCAAGGTCATCGAAAACGAATGAATTTCAATTATCACACCCAGACCAGATCTAGTCTTAATTTTTTTTCTGGGAAAGCTTTGAAAACATTTTGGCTCGTATGCCAAAAAATAACACTTTTCTTTGTTGTGACTGGATCTTTCTCGATATTATCTGAAATCTTTATCCTCACCCAGAGTTGATGCTTGTAAATTATCCTCTTTAGGAAATTAAACGATTTTTCATTCAGTGGTACAACGGTGTCTTAATTCTGAGCCCGGATCAACTCTATTTTTGACTTGCACGGACGCTTTATCTTATCATGCTCTCACTCTTCTAAAAACACTTCTCCTTATCAATCATAGAACAATAAATCATGTTTGAGCACTATTCTATAATTTCATGCTCCCGTTTTTTCAAAGGATGATATTATTTCTGTTTGGAACAAAAATGCTCAGGATCAAAATACAATCAACCGGATCAGGTTTGTATATCAGCTATTCGGATTCTCACAGTAAACACGATGTTTCCGGTTACAACTTTTAGGTGGTTGAATCTAGAATAATAGTGTCCGGTTTAATAAATCTGCCTTTAGGTCTTCGTTAACCGCATTTAATTATTTTGTGCTTTTCATGAATATTAAGCGGTCTTGACTCTCCAAACGACCACTGGTGTTTTAAACTGTATGTCTAATAAATCCTAATTTTTTCCCCTAAAGATAAGGTGTTAAACATTTTTTCGTAGATATTGCAGTGCAAATTTTTCCTTTCGCATTTGTAAAACAATTTGGAATCTTATCCCCATTACAATTTATGCAAAGAATGGCCCTCTTTATTTTCACATAATAAACCCAAAAGTGGGAGAGCTTTCCATTTTCCAACTTTCCATTTTTCCATGTTTCTTTAACTGATATTTTGGTATGAAGAGCCTTAATTCTGCTTTCATTGTTTCAGGGACACACTAAGACGAATCCTGAATCTGCCCCAGAATACAATAATGGAATACAAAGCTCACAGCGATAGCCCAAAGTATGTTTTTTACACTTTATTTTATGCTGAGATTAAAGATCAACCTTCAGTGCCGCAAAAAACATGATGATTTACCCCTCTTAAGTGAAAATTCAATTAACAGTCATCTGCCAATAGCTGACACCTTTCAATAGCAGATATCTCCAAATATCACGTTACAGAAATGATATCTTTCTTATTTTCCCGAACTTGAAAAATTTAGATAAAATTTGATTATATTCTTGCAAATTCTTACAAATTTACGAATGTACTTATAGAATAATTTATTATAGATTTTCTCTGTCTATATTCAACTGTCGAACCTATTCACAACATTTTTTAGGAATTTAGTCGATATTTAACTCTTCATTTTGCTTCAATTTTGAGCAAATTTGAGAAAGTTTGATAAACATTGAACGTGTAATTTTCCCACCGATCTACCTGGTCCGGGAGACCTCAGTGTGTTTTTGAAGTTTCAAATTCGTACTTTTGATCAAAGTTCCTTTTGAAATATTGCCTTATTATTTTTATTGCCTTAGTTTTAAAATTTTGTACTCTTGAAGTGATTCAGGTTTTATTGTTATGTTAATACATTAACTTAAAGATCTGATGTTCATATTGAAAAGATTCACCTTCTTTTTCAGCTATCGCTCAAGCATCAAAGACCCACATCTTTACGCTCAGGATGGACGAAATGAAAACAAATCCCCTTAATGTAAAGATTTTATCACAAATAAGAAAAGAATCATTGCTCATATTTCTTTTTGCTTTCATTCTCGATTTGGTAACGTTTTTGTTTTGGAAAAAGAAGACTGTAGTCTCTAATTCTTTGACGCTGGGAAGTACTTCCAAACATGACAGTACTTCAGACCAGACCTATCCATTTGGCTAATCGGTCGGTTTGGTCCACCACTCCCCTGGCCCAGCGGTCCCAAGGTCCACAATTCCCCTGGCCCATTAGTCCCGAGGTCCACCGGTCTCCAGGCCCACCGGTCCCCAGGCCCATCGGTCCACCGGTCCCCAGGCCCACCGGTCACCTGGCTCATCGCTTCCCAGGTCCACCGGTCCCCAGATCTACCGATCCCCAGGCCAACCGGTCCCCAGGTTTGCCAGTCTTCTGGCCCATCTGTCCCCAGGTTCACTGGTTCCCAGGTCCACCGGTTCCCAGGTCCACAGGTCCCCAGGCCCACCGGTCCCTACGCCCACCGGTCCCCAGGCCCACATAGATTGATAAAAGCATTATAAAATCAAAAGACTTTGTGCAGCAAAGGTTCCTTCTACGGGTGTTCACAAAAACCAACATTAGTGTGTAATATATTTGTTGGAAATTTCATTAGTTCAGGGATGGTGGAGAGACGGGGGAAAACTTTTAAAGCTAAAAATATCTTGGATTTGCAACCATCATTTCATCTATATAATTAGATAAGCCTCTTTGGATAAAAAGGTAATCCATTCTCGTACAAAAAAATTTGTACCTGGGCTCTGACCAAAGTTGGGTCTGTACTGCTGCTGCCAATCTCTAATTGCTCAGAGTATTACAGAGATAAGACTTCATTTCAAGTCTATAGTAAAGTAGGAGTGGCTGCTAATATATAATTTTTTATAAGAACACGAGCCTCATCATTGGTCCAAAGTTAAGAACAAATTAAGAACAAGCTGAGGCCGAACTACTGTAAAATGTAATTTTGAACAATGTTTCATCTCAAAAACGAGGAGTTTTTGCTACATAAGAGTGCTTTTTCGGTAAACATTCAAATTAAGAATGAGTCACTCACTTTATTGGCAAATTTGAAAAACCACAAAGATTCCATAAATATACCAGCTTGCGTGCTGTACAATGTGATAGAATGAAACTAGAAATTTAAGTAAAATTGTTCTATAACTTAATGAATTTATTAGCAAAAAAAATTAATTCGTTAGTTTTTCATAGAATAATCTTACTTCTATTCCTAAATTTGAAGAACGCATGTAAAATACTTTGCTAAAAACACAGTACATCAGCCTCAATTTGTTTTTAATTTGTTCTTAACTTTTGACCAATTTTGAGGCTCGTAATCTTTTAAAATTGTTCTTATATAAATGAGTCTAAAACTTGATTTCCTTTTGTTCCATCCTGAACCTTGGACTCTTGACATTTGCTTCTGTCTGCTCCTCTCTGTTAAAATCTCTGTATTCTGTCGGTCGTGCTCAACGGATTTTTCTAAGGGACTCGGGGCTGTTGCCCCCTTCTTATTTTGCAAAATTTTTAATCATTGACAGCGCTGCTTCCCCCCTCCCTCCTTAAATTGCATGCTTACTCAGTTTTAATGCTTTGTACTAGGTTAATTTTCCTTAGGAAATATGAATACCCCTTCCTAGCGCTTTTTAACCCGTTTTAGAAGAAATATGTAGACAATGTTTGACAAAAGTAGGGGGGACAATTACCCATACCCCCTTGGTGCCGCCACTGTGCTCTGTGTTGAATGGAGAGCCCTCAACACGACCTTCCAATCCATCAAATCATTTATTAGGGAAGTAAAAATCCCTCTTTGATTTAATTAGATATTTGGTTTTAAGTCGAAGATTGATCAAAGATTGACCTTTCAGGTGAACATTACAAAGACAAAAGATGCGATACGCTGGTGTGTTATGTTACGAGAGATTTGTGGGCAGCAGATACTTATGGAGAAATTTGATACCCATCTTCTTTACTTTTGTCCTTTAAAACCCTATTCGCACTGTACTTTAGAATATCGATTATAATTTTTATTCGGGGATCTCCGAGTCACTGGCAGAAGACTACTTCTTTGACAGAGGTAGGGGCTGACTTTTGTAGGTGCTCTTGTTCAAGAAGTTGGAACAAGCACGTGAAAGTACCGTGTTTCAACCAAAGTTATATGTTGCTGTTGTTGCTCATATATTTTTGCTCGCATTGGAAACAAAATGGCTATCGTAGAGTTCGCTCCAATTCGTATACCTTTCTACAGAAGACTTGAAACACTTGCCGTCGCTATTTATTATTATTCATTTTATTTTGGATCATTTATTGGCGCAGTTGCTATCTTGCTGATTCTTTTTAGCTCGTATTATCCACTTGCATTGCTCTACCTCGGCTGGGCCTATTTGTACGATACAAAAACTCCTAGCCATGGTGGCAGGCGTTCGAAGTTCATGCGGTCTTTGCGCATTTGGAAGTACTTCAGAGATTACTTTCCAATAAAGATGATCAAAACAGTTGACCTTGATCCACAAAAGAATTACATTTTTGGCTATCATCCACACGGAATTCTCTGTGCCGGGGCATTTTGCTGTTTCGCCACTGAGGCTACTGATTTTAGTCAGGTCTTCCCAGGAATCACTCCACATCTTCTTCCTTTGTTGGGTAAGTTTTCTGCAAATTGAAATAAATGATAAGGCTACCTATCATCAGTCAAAATGCCTGGATTTTTACCTATTTTGATCAATCTCTTCTTTCAAGATTATTAAGAAACCTGAGACATGCACTAACGACCTCTCAGCGCGTGTTTCACTCATACGAAACTATGCACAAGGTTAGGGTTGGGGGTAAGGGCATTTTCCAAGATTGGGTAAGGACGTTTTTGTATTAGCGCCCTTCCCTTCCAATTTGCTGTTAAGAAATGCCCAAAAATTAAAAGCAAAAAAAGGAGCAACTGTTTGTCAACTGTTTTTATGTGTGCATTGATTTTTTCATTGCAAATCAGTTGTTGAAATACCTTACTTGAATAATTTGTAACAGCTGATCTGCAGAGGGTGGGTTGTGTCAAGAGAATCAAATGTGGAAACGTCTGGTCTGCAAATGCGAAACTTTGAAGATTTGAGGTGCACTTTCCAGTTTAAATGTGACAAAGAGCCACTTGAAAGCACACAAGAGAAAAATGGGAAGGTTTTTGTGAAACCTTTCATTTGGTCAGAGTCAACTTGATAATCTTATGTTTCAGGAAAAAATTTCAAATGTTATAGACTTTCTAGATAAAAACCAGTGGAGAGGCACCTTTCAGTTCTCTGATCTTTTGTTTAGAGTTGTAACTTTCTCTTATGAAGCCACTCTCTTTTCTAATTGACTGCCAAGGGCATAGGAAGCATTTGGAAGGTTGCAAGGCACAAAAGTTCAAAGGCACTTGAACCCTCTATTCTAAAGCCACACCCAGGATGAACAAAATTTCTGGAATTAGGAAAATAAAACATAAAACGGAACTGAAATAGACTATTATTATAAACAAAAGTTAAGCTAATGTTATTTTTTAAAATATATGATACCAAAAACTGATATTATTTTAATCTTCTTTAGACAGAAAATTATCTTTTTCGCTTCTCAAGCTGCATTCACCGGGGCCTATAGATAAATCTTGGCGAGCTTTAAAGCAACTGGAAGTAACATCTTTGCACCCTGTGTTGAATTTAAGTACCCAACAATTAAATTGAGTTCAAATTGATTTTAAATGTCCTCCAGCCTTGAAGCGGGACAAACTTCTGACAAAGGAAGTGCTCCCATGTCTAAATGTATAAGCTTCTTTCAACCTTTCCTTGATCATCATGTTTGACAAAGATAATCTAATTAAACTTTGATACAAGTTGGCCAACCCCCGTATTTCAACAAAATCCATTGCAGACAGAGATTGGCAGAGGGGAGAGTCCAGGCAGAATAACATAGAATTTAAGAACACTTGATTTTTTTCTTAACAAAGAAAAAGAGGATAGCTCTCTGTGGTTTGCTAGGGCTCATGTTTTTGTTTACAGGTTATGGGAACATTCTAAAACTCTGAGAGCACTTTTTTGACACTTATGTCCTGTCTCTGTTGACTGCCAAATGAAAAATTGCTCCAAACTGCATATGGACCCTTGAAAGCATAATGCCATTGTGAAGTAAATATTTCACATTGCTTATTGAATGGTGACTTAAATAAGCAATAAGGCCCCCCTTTTCAGTCTCTGCTTCAGTCAACATCATTATGCTTTGAAGCTAAAACCAAATATGATGGCTCCCTTTACAGTCCTTTATTTCTTTGCAAAGGAATATCAAATATTTGATGCAATTTTGTAATGGATTAAAATGCAGATCAACCTTCATTGTTGGTGACCAACCTTGATCAAGACAAAAGAATGAACTACCAAAAATGGCTTTGAAAACAGGAAATTTTTGTTGACACATTCCGAAGCTTTTTATGAGACAATCTACAGAGTAAAGAATGTTAAAACCCGAGTCAGAAAAGGTCAAGATGAAAAATATAAACCTGGTTGTGGATCATTTAAATTAATTATTCTTTGAAGTGAAAAATGTAATTCTGTTGTAACCAGAGAGGAATTACAAGTTTCTATTGATTTCCGTATCATGGTTTTTATTCAGAACTTTCATTGCACTTAGTGTTTCTGTTGCAATGTTCACTTTTACTTTACCAGGTGGTTTTGATACAAATGTACAAGTTTCAAAGCTTTCATTTTAGCCACATTATTGTTGTGTTTTCATAACTGACATTTAGATATTAAAAGCATTCTTCTCAAAAATGGTAAAATTGATTTCTACTTTCTTTTTGAAGCTCTGTTCAAGCCACCACTTTTTCGTGACTACATAATGTCCTCAGGAATGTGTGATGTGACAAGAGAAAGCTGTGAATACATCTTAACCAAGAAAGGCAAAGGTAACTCAATATGCATTGTAGTTGGTGGAGCAGTGGAAGCCCTTGATGCGCATCCAAGCAAAGACTATGTACTTATTGTCCGGAAAAGAAAAGGATTTATAAGGCTTGCTTTAAAAACAGGGTATGTGAAAAGAACTTGGGTTTCTTCTTTTAGAAATACTTTTTGCCATAGCATTTTTTTCAGCACCAATACTTTTAAAACCTATTTGCAACTCATCATCATGGCAGTTACCTTGAACTCAAAGACCAAGGCTGTGACTAAATTTTACTAGTGGAAGGCCCTTCTCTGGCAGGCTAGAGGTCAACTAGAAAATCATGGTGTGTTTTTATTTGGTATAGCAACAAAAAAGACTCTTGGTGGAGCAAATTGTTTAGTTTGCCAATGATTGTGCCAACTGGCCTTTGTTCCAGTGTTGTGTGACCCACAATTTGAGATCTAATTTTTGTTTCAAGACATGTTGCTGGTCCCAATTTTTTACTTGATTTTACATCTGTGCTCAGCTTAGTAGGTCATACATTGGTCAGTAGTGTCATGATATCAGCCAATGTGTGCAAAAGATCTTCTCAATAGGAACTCATGTTACTTGGATACAATAAAAAGGGAGTTTTGATAAATCTGCCTTGGTCCAACTTTGATCAATGATGGCTCCTTGCTCCAACTGCCCTCTGAATGCCAAAATTAATGACCTCAGCCAATCAGAATAAGATCTAACACTGTTTTACCGAATGTGGTAATGGTTCTACAAGTTTGATATTTTCTTTTGAATAAGAACTTATGCTGTATGGAAGAAAATGAAATATGCTGTATGGAAGAAAATAAGATTTATGTTTTAGTGGATTTTTTCAGTTTTTTCCTTTCATCTTTCAATTACCATTGAACATGCATGTTTTAAACACTGTATATCTTTTCCAGGTCAAATCTTGTTCCTGTCTTTGCGTTTGGAGAGAACAATCTGTTCAACCAACTCAGCAACCCAGAAGGATCAAGGCTAAGAGATATACAGACCAAAATTCAGAGCTGGATTGCATTTGCTCCTGTCCTGTTTTACGGTCGTGGAATTTTCCAATACACATTTGGTTTTATCCCCCACAGAAGACCTGTCAATGTTGTCAGTAAGTTTATATTTCAAAAATTTATCAAACTATGTTTAGACAGAATAGATTAAAAATGAAGAACCATTGTTTTGGATCAACCCCTGTATACAAAATTCATCAGACTTTTCGTTTGGCTAATACCCAACTTTTTTACTATAGATAAAATAACTTAATCAATTTTTTTCTGCTTTTCCATACCTAAGGCTTATTTGGAAAAAGCTTATAGAACGACCTTCATTTATTTAAGGAATCTCAAACGAAAGACCCATCAACATCTTCACCGATTGAATCTTTCTCAAACAGCTGAATTAACAATTAAAGGTTTCAAGTTTCTCGATAAATTCCATTGAAAAACTTCATTTTCTGTTTCGCTTTCAGGTCCTTTAAAGCAGTAGGTTTCATGCAGTGGCTGATACCTGCTGAGGGGGCGAGGGGGCCCCCAAATGCTTTAGAGGACAATGGTCTTTTGTTCTAAAACAATGGAAAATGTGATGTCATCTTATTAAAACAATAGGCGTGCCCCCCAATATTTGACCAAGTGTCCGCCCCTGGTTGCATGCAACTACAGCTAGTAGAAAAAAATTTTGTTAAGCAATAGAATCATTCATCATACTTATTCAAGCTCCTTTAAAAGAGTTCTTTGTTGATTAGAGAAGTAAAAACGCTAGCTTGCCAGGTGACTATGATATGAAACTTTGTTTCATGGAAATGTAACATCATTGTTGTCCAAATTTTATGATTATAATTCATTACTGCCCTCATTTCTTTCGCAACTCACTTGCTTTTCAAGGAGATGGAAGCTATATTTTAGTTAAAGCTGCCGAAAAAGAATGAATGGATAAATAAGAAGATGACAAACATAGTTTATCAAGGAATATTTTGCAAGCTCTCTTGCCAGTATTTCAATATGAATTTTTGTAACAGAACCGTTTACGTGAATTTTCTCTTCCAGCTTTTGCCAAGACTGCATGAAATCCTTATGAAAACTCAGTGCTTGCTTGCTCGAAATCGGCTTTGTTGCTTATAATCTGTTGAAGACTGCAATTAGGACTCAGTAGAATCCACGGATTTTAAAATATCTTGTTTAATTGGCCTTGATCCTCGATCTCTGGGTCACGAAATTTTGTCTTGTTTGACTGTGATACCATATCAGCTGACTAAGTATTTCTCTCTCTTTATCTAAATTCTAAGTTTGTTTTCAATTGATTGAAGTCAAATGTTCAAAACAACGATTATATATTTTACTTTTAATGCTTGAGTAACTTACATTCCTTGGAATCTTATTTTGTTTCTTTAAAATGTGTATGCAGTATTGTGCATCCGTAATACCAGCCCAGATGGAGCCTATCCAGCAATTTTACTTGGTTTCAGTTGCCATTAAATATGAACATTTTCCGTGGTGTGCAAATCCAAAAATAATTAATCCAATCAAAAAAGGTTCTTTCTGAATCTGTAATGCAGAATGAATTTTTGCTTGTGGAAAAAGGGGTGATAGAAATTTTTTGTCCTCAAAGTCGGGAGACGGGTGCACCCCACTATCATTCTTTGAAGCATAGTGATGTGAAAAACAGGGGGCTGCTGCCGTTTATCTCACATAATATATGGCAAGATCTTTCAGATGGTATCTTTTTGGCACTAACAAGAGGGCCTGAACCCCAAAGCCCGTTTTAGCATAGGATCCTGACTAACATCCAAAAAAACCTCATTTTAAACTAATATATTGCTGAATTTTTTTCTGTCTTATTGAGAATATTAAAGTTCAATGAAGGAATATTAATAGAAGAAATTGTTAGAATTTTCAATAAGCAGAGCCAATATATCGATTTATAAAAAAGGCTTTTTGGAAGTTGGCGTCTCTAGCTCATTCCCAGTTTCGTAAGTCCCATTTTCATTGCTTCTTAATTTCTTTTCCTCAATTTAAGCAAGATTGACAGTCTTTTATGTTGACGCTAGCCTTCCTGCGTGACGAAGGTATTCGCCTTGAGCATTTCCTGCGATAATGATTTTGTTCTTTGGATGAAATCCCCTTTTTTGTTAATTTGATTTTCCCATATATATTTCACTGACAAATAAAAAGATGAATAAAACTGGATGAATAAAACTAAATATTCTCAAAAATGTTCTGAGCTGCTACTGTCTGGTTATTTCTCGGTGGAAGTTGACGCCACGGCGGTCATTTGCAGATTGCGCCAATGCTTCTATAAAACTATTGTCCTTTTTGTTGCAAAGATCGTTGATGTTCTAAGAAAACACTTTTTCCATAGAGAATTTCTACGAGCTTCGTTCAGTATTCTAATCTGAAACAAGATCTAAAATTCTGCTCAGATTTTTTCTACATGTTCTGTTTCGCACAGTTTTCGGAAAAAAAATTTAAGCCTACATCGCTTCTCTCTTCTCCAGCGGAGACAGCCTTCCATGTAACTTTTTATCCCACTAGATCAACAACGACTTTAAAAAGAACTCTGATTAAACACCTGCAGATAGGACGGATTTCCTTAAGACCTCTGAAATGTTCATTCTTGTTCTATTTTCTTCAGTTGGCAAGCCAATCGAAGTTGAGAAAACCGAAAACCCGACAGACACAGACATCCGGCATTTGCAGGAGAGATATGTTGATGCGCTCAAACAACTTTTTGAAGAAAACAAGGAGAAATACGAGGCTAATCAGTCGGTCAATCTGGTGATTCACTGAATTACGTCACTTAGAACTCAACGAACTTTGCTACAACCAAGATTTCAACAAGATAATTTATTTTGTTTGCAATCATCTCGGCGATCAGAATTATGTCATGAGATACATTAACGTGGCAAGTAATTTTTGTTTTTTTAAATCAGTTCGGGGCACTATATTTTGTGCAGCGGGTAACACGTAACATTTTTTTGATACCTTTTATGCAAAATTTGGCCAATCATTTATAAGCAAGTTTCGATTTCCTTTAATGTTAAAACGTAGTTTTACAATGTATATATACAGATTAATGCTAATGAGATAAAAACCGCTGCTTTTCATTTCAAACACCAGCAGCTTTCGATCTGGTTCCAACTGTTTTGACACTCAAATGATTTTCTATTAATTATTTTGTACAGTTAGGCTGCATTTACCAGCAAAGCATAGGCCACACTTTACCCAACGTTTTTGTTCTGTTCTCGCCGTGAGCGTTGCCATTTTCATGCAGTAGGCGGATTTGTAGGGCGATACCGCAAGGTCCCTATTTGTTTTCACATATCGCCCGGCTTATTTTAGACGAGCCAAAATGCCTTTCTTTTGCCCTCAAATGGAATAATGATATATCCGACAACGGTGGACCATCCGTAGATTTCTCCACTATTTGCAGTTCTCGCTTTTTCAAAGGTCTCCAAAAGATAATCTTTATTCATCCCTTTTCCAGATCCCGGGTCTTTTTAATGTAGGATATTGTTTCTTCACTTAATTTCCCAGTTTGACATTATGAATGGTCATCAGATTATGAGAAATGTTTTCCGATTCAGAAAGACGATAAATTTTTGCCTGAGAAAAAAGGGAAAAATACTTCTGCTTAAAAATCTAAACAAGTCTTAAAATTTATCGAAAGGAAGTGCGTCATCTAAGTTGGCAATAGACACAAGCCACTCTATTGTGCCAGAGTTTTGGCATTTGCATAAACAAGATAGGCCCTCGCCAGTTGCCTTGATAAATAAATTTGTTGAATCCTTCCCTTGTTCGAGTATATGCGCCATACTGCCGTGGAATTATGTTGGTGCAATGTCCGCCAAAAGTCTTGGAAGATTTTTTCCACAGGTACCTCTGTTTACATTGCTGCATTTCATCCACACAGATATTTTAAATTAATATCTTTAATTAGATTATAATTGAGTAAAATCAAAGTAGCTACAATTTTATTAGATACTCAAGCCATTACATGCATGTTGTTCATTTGTATTGAATTTGATTTGTGAAGTAGAATGTTAAATTATAAACTATTCGCTTCAGGAGTATTCCTAGTTACACGATTTATGCTGTCTAGAATCTTAAATTGCTTCAGAAGAGACAAATCCATTTAAGATTTATATCTCACTATTGTCATTCGTAAGTAGCATTCAATTCTTTGGGAACCACGAATCTTTCATTAGCTTGACCAAGAGATGCTTTTCTAATTCCCATGGCGAGCATCAAGTTGGAATTGATGTGTTGATTTCACCAGCGACGTTTCTTGATTGGACAAAGCAATGCACTATCAGTAAAATGATTGGTTGATAGATTTCAGCAATTCCATTTTCTCCCAAAGGTATTTGCCAACGAGCAAACGCCATTGCAAAAAGCCTTTTCGTAGCTGAAATCAGGCCTATTTCAATCGTCCATTATTCATCGTTGCAGCATGTTTTGGGGTGACCAGGTAGAAAATGGTTTGCTGCATTGATAATGATTAAGAAATAGAGCTTTTCCAGACAGGTGAACGGGATTGCATGCTCAAATGACGTTGAAAAAGGGAAAACTCGCCCATTTTGAAACTAATTGCCGAAAACTGAGATAAGAAAAGACATGGCCAAAGTTCTATTCTAACTATTGCAATGAAATAGTACTTGTTAACATAACGTGGTTTGAAAAAGCATTTCTCATATTTTTACATCAACTTTGGGCTTATTTTATTGGTTAATGTTATAGAAACTCGGCCACATTCAACTGTTTTGGACTACCAACTACTTTTTTCAATCATTAACTACATATTTTTGGCTCTGAATGTTTAATTCCTTTATTCTATCACTACCTGTCTCTATTTATACTGAAGGCTTTTGAGAGTGTCTATGGCAGCCCCCGGAATGGAGGAAAACCCCCGGAAAAATGTTCGCATGAACCCCCTGAAATGTCTGTTTTGCGAGGCTTAGCGAATTAAGCCAAAAACATTCTCTGGAAACAAACTGTTTCAAATTAAAAAACCCCAAAAAGATTTATTAAAACGTAAGGCCCGTCAGATAAACACTGGATAATCTGCATTTATAAGGCGGCAAGTAGAAGACTTCGCTTCTTGCGATGTCATGATGCACAAAACATGAATGTTATAGACGTTTTTAGCCCACCAGCTTAATTATATTCCATTAAATTTCCTTTTCGCTTTGGGAAGTCAAAGTTAAATCTCCGAAAAATCCCACTAGTCTTATTTGTCTTCGAGTATTTTGATGAATCAGTCTTTAGGCAAAGACATTTAAAACTGTCTTGCAACAGAACAGGTGCTCTTCAAACATGTTATTTGGCAAATAATTCCAAGTTTGGTTTTATACCAGACTTGTTCCCCTTGCTCGAGTCTGTTAGGCAGTGTTTCGCATTTGAGAAATATGTTATATAACAAGGTATATGCCTGACACACAAACAGCAAAAATCGTATACATATTTTATTAAGTTCAACTAAGTATGTTCCATATTTACATGTTATAATTCCATTCATTGTAGCATCAAGTAAATTTGCATATTGTAGCTCCTGTGCACAACAAATTTGACGACTTTACCTTCAACATTTCATGTTAATTTTAGATTTGCATCAGATAAAAACCAGATAATGTTTTAAGCTCAGACTGCCCGGCCTCTTTTTTATCTATTATATCTATTTAAATACCTACTGTTAAACATAGTTTATGTGCCAGGTATAGTTGCTACGAAACAAGTGGCAATAAAAAGTTCATGCCAAGAGCTATTAGTATTAAAAAAAGCTGCAGGGTCCTATTTAGTTTTTTGGCTGAATCACCTGTGGGGTCGTCCACACCCAGCGAGCCCAATGGATGTTGCATTGCAACTTGGTCTATCATAGCCATGTATTAAAAGCTGAAAAAATGTTTATAGAAGTTCGTGAATGATTTTTGCAAGTGATATACATTCCCCAATCCAGAAAAGGACTTCCTGTAGGGCATAAGACGGGTTGGGGGGGGGGGTTTCCTGTGATAGTCGACTTCAAAGCGCACCGTCATCCCCAATCAGCCATCCAGAAACAGAAGATGAATCTTGGCCAATGACGTCATTGAAAGCACATCTTTTACATTTTGATAGTAGCTTTAATATTTTTCTGTCTTTGCTTTTCAAACTGGCAAGTCAGTCATTGAGCCTTTTCCAACCTAACCATAAGCAAGACTCAAAATACACCGCATGACTCCCGACAAATTCCCTTCTGTTTTGTTTTTGTCCAAACCTTCTTCCTTCGTAGGATGCGCAGAATTATTCTATTGAGAATTTTGATAATTGCAAATTCGTGAAATAACACAGTACAATGCAACAGCGCGAATTTCTTACTGAAAGAGTGTGATTTAGAATGTTTAGGCTGGCAGATTAGTCTGCAAAACGCGCAAAGAAACGGCTTAGCAAGGATTGTTGTCATTATTCGAAGCTGATCTACTTGAACGAGGATATGAACTAGCCATCAGGCTATTTGATATGCAATACCATTTAACAATGCGATGCAACGTTATAGCTACAAAGCTTGCTATTTACTTAGCTTGTTTGTTAAATATTTCTGTTTGTTTTTGTTGTTGTTTGTATGTTATATTATCATAACATATAGTTGATTGTTCATTCCTTTTTCTATGAGGTTCCATTTATCAAATGGCATCTTACCCTCGCTTGGAAATAAAAAGATCAAAGACACTTTCCATGTTTAATGAATATCCACAGTTCAGACCCTAGAAAAATTTTTCTTTGTTATATTGATCCTAGAAATACAGCATTCCGGTTTCCGTTTCGTATCCATTCAAAAACCTTTATCGCCCTAGGGCGCTTAACAGAAAACATCTTATGCAAATTATTTGGCTATCTTCTTCCTAGTCAACAATATGCTTATCAGAATTTTGCTATTAATTAGTTCAGCGGTAGTTTTTCTTCTCAATTTAGATGGTAAGGGGGTAAAATTGAATTATTTTGGCATCGGGTTTACTAGCCACAAATGCTGCAAGTATTGGTAAAACTTAATGCAACTAAAATAGTTATTGGCAGTGGACCCCCGGCTTGGTCTTTTTCTCTTAGGCATGCACCTGTCTCGATCTTTTGTAATATACAACCTTGGTAATGAGTTTGTAAACGTACGAGAGTGTTTTAACTGCAGTTTTTCGGATTCGTTAATCTGGCCTTCGTTCCAGAATCAGTTAAATGTACATTGTGCTGCGATTTCATATCTGATAAAGTTGCTTGGGAGCAAAGAATTTTTGTTATAAGCGCCAAGTAGAAGGAGTATATTCAGGTAGCTCTTTTATTTATGTAATCCTGTTGTCTTTAACTACAAATTAACAAGGAACCCAGTTGCTTTAAAAATATTTGCATATCTATTATATTAAGTTCAGCTGTGTCCTCTTTATTTGAAATATTGATGATTCAGTTTTAATTATTTTTATTACTTTAAGATGCTTCATCTCTCATTATTTAAAGCTACATTTATGTATGGTTTTCTCATTCCTAAATTTTAAAATACAGACTTTGACCAACGTCTTATATAATACCATTTTTAAACTCGTTTTTTGTTATCCTCTACTTCAAAGCACGCCCTGTTTGCTTCAATACAAATTATCCTTAAGCGCTTTCTGGAAAAAGCAACATTGATGCTCCTAGAAAAACATAGTAGACTTGGTTAAACTTTCTTTTGAAAAATGCCAGAACCATTTTTCTCTCTTATACGATATATTTAAAATTTGCAATTTACTGGTATTTTTATTGCAATTTATCGTCAATGGTTGAATTTATCATGATTCAGGGGAATTTTGCTTCAGAGCACTGGCTTGGTTTGTTTTGTTTCACTTTTTGTTTTAGAGACTTTTGCTTGAATCGCCTGTTCTTCTAGCGGTTACTGTCTTTATTCATGTTGTTCTTTGTAAAAAATATTTAAACAGTCTTCATCGTATGAAATATTAAGTATTCTACTCAAATTTGCTTATAAAATATTTAAAAATTTGATAAAGTTTCATGCATGTTTGCCTCAAAATTCAATTTGATGATTTGCAGTTATAAAGAAATTCTCAGCCATGCAAAATGTTAAAGAACACTTAGTGGGATTTTCATACTTTGTCTGCTCTCGTCGTCATTATCATAATCATTCCTATCGTTATTGTTAACGTCGTTAATGTCATCATCGTTTTCATCATCGTCATTATCGTCAATTTTCAGTCACCAATCGCCATCATCGATCGCCAATCATCGTCATTATCAATTGTCAGTCGTCAGTCGTCAATCGCCATCATCAATGGTCAATTGTCAATCGCCATCATCAATCGCCATAATCAGTCGTCAATCGTCACTTGCTCTAGTCAATCATCGTCATCAAAAATCGTCAATCGTCAGTCGTCAATCGACATCATCAATCGACATCATCAATCGCCATCATCAATCGACATCATCAATCGCCATCATCAATCGTTAATTGTCAATCGTCAATCGTCATAGTCAATCATCGTCATCATTAATCGTCAGCATAAATTGTCTATTGTCAATCGTCAATCTTTGTAGTCAATTATCGTCATCGTAAATCGTCAGTCGTTATCATCAATTGTCCATTGTCAATCGTCAATCTTCGAAGTCAATCATAGTCATCATTAATTGCCAATCGCCATCATCAATCGTCAATTGTCAATCGTCAATTGTCATAGTCAATCATTGTCAATCGTCAATTGACAATCGTCAATCTTCGTAGTCAATCATAGTCATCATTAATTGCCAATCGCCATCATCAATCGTCAATTGACAATCGTCAATTGTCATAGTCAATCATTGTCAATCGTCAATTGACAATCGTCAATCTTCGTAGTCAATCATAGTCATCATTAATTGCCAATCGCCATCATCAATCGTCAATTGACAATCGTCAATTGTCATAGTCAATCGTCAATTGTCATAGTCAATCATTGTCAATCGTCAATTGACAATCGTCAATCTTCGTAGTCAATCATAGTCATCATTAATTGCCAATCGCCATCATCAATCGTCAATTGTCAATCGTCAATTGTCATAGTCAATCATTGTCAATCGTCAATTGACAATCGTCAATCTTTGTAGTCAATCATCGTCATCGTAAATCGTCAATCTTCAATCGCCAAAGTCAATC